ATTCTTCACCTTGAGAGTTTTTCCTTTTCTTTAGGTACTGATGATCCATATTATGAGTGAAAAAAATCTCCAGAGGGACGTTAAACAATACAGGAACTGATGCCAAGGAATTATTTAATAGTAAAGAAAATGTAATGAACGGAAAATGCAATATTTGTAGTTGAATATGGAAATAATTTACTCGTGGGATAGGAGTTTATTTTATATTTTCTCTCGTGCGTCGCACTTGTGTAAATATCAAAGAAATCCTCTCCAAATCTATAAATGAATTCCAAATCAGACAACAAAACATTGAATATTCTTTACATAAGCTGGGTCTAATTCATCTTTTCGAATATTATTGTCATTTAAATGTATGTCAGTTGATCTATCATGACCCATTTGAAGAATGAAAGTTACAGTGTGTCGTAAGAGCAAGATTGTCAGCAAGTCTTTATGCTTGTTATCAATTTGCACTAATTAAAACTAATAATATTGTTCAAGGACCGATTTGCTTAGTACCAAGGTTTATAACTAAAGAAAATTTTTTTTCTAGCTTTCATTGATTAATGTGACAATTACATAATAAAAAATCGAGCAATTATGTGTCTTATATATATAGTCCATTGAAACAATAAAAATCGAGAGCAGAGTAGACAGGGACCTCTATAAACATCAGAGGTGGGATCAGGTGCCCTGGGGGATTAAGCATCCCCTGACGGCCGTTCACATCCAACCTGTGTTCATTGTTATGATCGGGCAAAGGTAAGAATCCATATATAAATCAGTGTTTAAATAATGGCCTAACAATGAGTATGAAAAACGTCAGCCAGCATTTGTTTTAATGATAGTTTGTGTTAGGACATTTTACGACTGAATACAGTAACACCCGAGATATTAGCTGTTTCCTTTTTTCTTACACAAAAAAACTAGCTCTATATTAGTAAAATGAATGAAGAAACAACAAAAGTGTCTTACACATTGTTTTGTTTCATTAATAGGACCATTTTATGAGTCTTCATTCCTAGCTCAAAAGGTATTGGCGATGTATCAGAAAACATGTTTTTACGAACAGAGCTTATTTTACATGGAGAGCAAGGTTAGACATCTATTAGCGACGTGTGAGGTATAATTACAAATATACTAAAAGTTAAAAACTTTAAGGGTTCTGTAAAGTGGGATATAGAATTCATATATATATAAAAACTCTTATGCTTTGAGTGAAACAATTATATCTTTAGATAGTTATTAGGTTAGAAGGACTGATTCTAAAATTGGAGGAGAATGGAGATGGTTGCCAAATTTTAATCTTCTAAGATATGTTTATTCGAATCCCGACTCAGGACTGTCTACAGCTATATTTCTCAACCTTTCATATGTGAGATGTAGTCGGTCTCAACATTTACTGGTTGACTATATTTTGAAGATAATTAAAATGATCAAAAAGACAGAGATAAATTCTACATGAAGTTAATTCCGACTACCAGATCAATATGACTGGTATGATCGGTTGAGAGGGGATGCTTATTTCACCTGATTACATATCCGGTGTTTACAGGGTCAGTGTTTTTGGCCTGTCCATGAATCGTTTTCTTCACTGTATTTATGAGACTGATCATTGTTCTTACCTTCACCTTTTAGCTTTTATTACCTTATAATATATAGAGGACAATTTTGGTGTATTTTCTCGACGGTCTGACAGTATTAACATCAGAGTTTGAAAACGAATTGCTTAATTATGTTTAGAATTAAAGCACGAAACTGAACAGAAGTGTTTCTATAATGAGTGTCTAGAGCACGGACTGTACATTGGCGACGAGGATAAAAACTGCACAATGGCAAAGGTATTACAAACCGCGTGGCTGAGGCTGTCAACATCAATTACTGACTTAAGGAGGTTGGATCCTGCCATCAAAAGTAATGAGAATTTTTTATCAAGTATATTTTTAGAATTTACACACATAGCTTAATCAAAAATCAAAACAAAAAATGGGGGTCAATGCGCTTCTTTTGGCGCTACAGAACATTTAGCTTGACCTTTTTGCACTGTAAAAACGTCTTACACATAAATCAATTTTTAAAGTTTTTCCTCCAATATTTTTTATTCTAATAAGTTATGGGAACAAACACAGTCTTATTTCATTTTGAGTAGACACAATAAAATTTGTGACAACGAAAAACAATTTCATATTACTCCGCATGTTCAATTATTTGACCTTTTTGCACTCAAAAAAAAAAATCATTTTCTGGCATTAAAAATTTAACAAGCAAAAAAATCATTTTGAAAGTAATGACATTTTACTGAATTTAAGAAGAATGGTTTAAAGTATCTTATATATTCAGAAATGAAAATTAAAAGTGGGGGTCTGTGATGTTAATTTTTAGATATTACTAAAATAATGCCAATTTTAAGCTTAAATTAGGGCTATTTTTATCTTGATTTTCATAATATATTTGCTATATTTGTCCAATATGATGATAAAATTCATGACAGTTTATTAAATATATAATTTAGGACCAATATAAAACAGTTCACTGCACAAAATAACTCTGTGTGCAGACTGCATGTAAAAATAGGAATCCAAACTTAACATATTTTTAAATACTTATGGAGAGAAAAAATGATCATTTTCTTCTTAAAAAAAACCTTCCGCCACAAAAAATAGTTCCTCAGTTAATGCTTTTGGTATGGAATTTAATCATGGAGTTTTAACTGAATATAGTTGAATTGGCATTGTAGAATCCATATTTATTGTAAGAATTAAAACATTATGCAAAATGTTTGAAATATAGGTTAAGATAAAAATCTGCTCAAAAGCTCAGGAGCGAACCTTTGTTAATATTAACATATAGCATTCTGCTGATAGAGCACATTCCTATACGTGGGAAACATTAAATCTGAATGAACTATTTAAGATATAGACATTACAATCAGATATAATGCCTAAGTATCAGCATACAATGTAAAAGTATCAGCATACAATGTAAAAGTATCAGCATACAATGTAAAAGTATCAGCATATAATGTAAAAGTATCAGTGTATAGTGTCAAAGTATTAGCATATAATGTTAAAGTAAAAGCATATAATGTCAAAGTAGCAGTATATAATATAAAGGTATCAGCATATAGTATTGAAGTATCAGAATATAATGTAAAACCATCAGCATATAATGTTGAAGTACTTGTATCAGGATATAATATCAAAGTATCAGCATATAATGTTAAAGTATCAGCATATAATGTCAAAGTATCAGCATATGATGTGTCAAAGTATCAGCATATAATGTTAAAGTATCAGCATATAATGTTTCAGGTATCAGCATATAATGTCAAAGTATCAGCATATGATGTGTCAAAGTATCGGCATATAATGTTGAAGTATCAGCATATAATATCAAAGTATAAGCATATAATGTTAAAGTATCAGCATATAATGTTAAAGTATCAACATATAATGTCAAAGTATCAGCATATAATATCAAACTATCAGCATATAATGTTATAATATCAGCATATAATGTCAAAGTATCAGCATATAATGTTAAAATATCAGCATATAATGTTAAAGTATCAACATATAATGTCAAAGTATCAGCATATGATGTTGAAGTATCAGCATATAGTATCAACATATAATGTCAAAGTATCAGCATATGATGTTGAAGTATCAGCATATAATGACAAAGTTTCAGCATATAATGTTAAAGTATCAGCATATTATGTAAAGGTATCAGCATATAATGTTAAAATATCAGCATATAATGAATGTTCTCCACATAAGGCAGCTGATGCGTTCCATATACTTGCTGTAATAGATTCATTGACTTATGGTGTTCAATCCAGAAAAGGTTAGTTAAATATTTACTTATATCGACGTGTTCCTGCAAACGGAAATCCATTTTTTTCTAGCAGTAAATCCATATGAATACAAGGTCTGGGACAGTGAATGGTTATAAGAACCCTAAAAATGTAGTTTTCCTAAATTTGTTCACAGCGACTGAATAAAATGTCAATTGTGTCCGACAATGCGGGGCTCTCACTCATCAACATCCACTTTATCATTCTGCAGTGCGCAATGAAATGACTGATTGTATGTTGTATTATGTCCTGCTCGAGAATTTTTCACTCATATGGAGACCTCACCTTATACCGGTGAAGGGCTTCAAATTTAGACCTTTACTCAGGTAAAGGCTCAGGGCCAACGAGCAGTGAGGGATCTTTGTCGTGCCAACGTCTGTCGTGACACACGGGTAAGGGCATCGGTTTTAAAGATGTCATTAGAAAGACCCACAACTTTCACCTATTTTTTATTGACTAAGGTCAGTCGCAGCCGAAGTTCAACCCCTCAACCTTCCGATCACGAAACGAGCGCTCTGCCGACTGATCTACCGTGACGGTCGCAAGTAAAATAATTATAGGGCGAAACACAAATTACCAATTTGAGAGGAATTAAATCAAAAGATCACCTGGCCGATGGTTGATACGATGCAAGTTCCTTATTAAACAATTATTTTGGGTATATCAAGTGATATTCTGATGGGTGTGAACTCGTTTGCTTGCACAAACTCGTCATTACTCATCAGAATATTTCGTGATACCCAAATTACAATTGTTCAATAACTGTAAACATACTACATTGGGATATAAAATAAAACAACAATGGCCTTGCTGTTCTTGAGAAGAAGTTTTTTAACGATTTATCCAATGTATTCCTTCAGAAGTTTACGACAACGACGACTGACAACGGACAAATTTTGATCAGAAAATCTCACTTAATAGAGCCTTCGGCTTAGGTGAGCTAAATCAATGGGATATACAATAATACAACTTGGGGATATAATAGAGATATGAAACAATACAACTCTGGGATACGAAAGAATACAACACTGGGATATAAAGCAATATAACACTGAAATATAAAGCAATACATGTACAATATTTGGATTTAATACAATACAACACTGAGATGTTAAACCCAGTGCAGCACTGACATATTACTAGTTTTCTTGGCATTAATGCATTATACCGAGCTTGTGTTCTCTAGATATTCATACACGAGCACGGTTGAATTGATATTGAAACCAACCCAGAGGTTGTGTTGATCGCTAACACAGAGAGCACTTGGAGAGTGTGGACATTGCTTTGGCGTAAGTAAAAGAGACAGAAACTGACCGTCTATGTCTACCATGTGGATACTGTAAAACGTCTTAGAAGGCATGGTACCACAATTACTCACCAGGATATGCCCCAGAGCATCTGTTGATATGCCAAAGGGAATGAATACAGACTGAGACTCGTGCCCCAAGTAAGAGAACCGATAATTTCCCGACTCTGTCACGACCACCACCTTATTGGCTCTTGAATCTGACGTACAAATATCGCCATTGACATTCTCTGTTATATAGTTTATACTCTTATATATTTTTCCTCCATCAATAGTTTGAATGTCATGAAGCCTTTCCCCAGTTGTGTTGTATCTCGTCACTTTCCAATCATCTTTCTCTTTTCTTATCCCAATCAGTATATGTCCATTGATGTGAGAGGAGTAGATTGAGCGTGGAATCCAGTCTTCTGTTTTTAGTACTGTGGTTGTCAGATCATCAGTCACTCTGTGAACTGATTTAAGTTCTCTCTCTGTATAAAGTAGTTCTCCCTCTTTAGTGACTGTATGGTAGCCTATGTTAATGGACTCTTTTGTGCATAATGTTTGCAAGATGTTCCCCTCCGTGTCACATTGGATGAGATTCCCCTTTCTATCACTGGCCCAAAATTTTCCTGATGGTAAGAGAGATAAATGACAAACAGTTGTGAGATTTGGGATAGTTATTCTTTTTAATTCTTTCATAGACGAGGGAAGCAAACTATATTTTTGGATTGTTTCCTCGTCAGATGAAATGATTTTGATATGGCCAAACTGTTGGAATATTTCTTCTCTATTCATTATCCCTGCTGTTAACTCTGAATTTGCTTCGGTTAAAGAAGGTATCTGGCTTTTTTCTTTATCAGCTAGATGTTTGTTGATTTCGCCAAACTGTTTTGATATTTCCTCTTGATCCAGCTTGCCTGGTGTAAACTCTGTTATGACTGGTGAATCTATCCTTGGCATCCTCAATGTGACTGAGGAGATTTCCCCGTGGAGTTTAATAAGGTCAGTGTGTTTTATTGATGACACTTTACTCTCATAGTCTGTGATCAGATCATTTACGTACTTAATATAATCCTGTATTTTGTTCTCTTGTTGAACAACATAACTCATTGCAGATTTTTCAGCGTCCTCCAGCTTTGCATTATTATCGGCTTCTAAAGTTTCCACTATTGCCTTCATCTCATCAGCTCTTTTCTTCGTGCATAATCTTGATTTGAATATTTCCTTTCTGACATTTTCAGAGATTTCTTTAAGTAACTTAAGATTGTTTACAGACTTTGGTATAACATTTGTCAAGAGAGTATTCAATTCCATCTGACATTGTCGGAGAGTTTCGTTGTAGACAGTTTCAAGGGGACGGTTATCATGAAGACTGTGGTCTGAAGCAAAGCATGTAGAACAAACGGGGTCCTGGCAACAATCACAGTAGACATCTATGTCGTTTGTGGGGTGGATCCTGCATTTTTCCGAAGGAAGTTTTCTTTTTCTGTCATGATAAAGAACAACCTCATGGTTACTTGTTATTTCTTCAGAATGATGATTTCTGCACTGCTCACACATTCTCCGGTGACAGGTATTGCAGTAGAATTGAGAATAGTTTTTACATGATCTCGAACCGCAAGTGACATAGTGCTGGGCAGTATCCGGTACCTGATCCATGGCGTTCAAGTTAACAGCTTTAAATAAAAAAAATATCAGTTCTCCATAGTTAGGGTTTAATTGTATGCATATGAGATATGGATAAGGATTTTGAAGGATACATTAATATATTCAATGCTTACATGTCACCACGTTAGCACACTTCCATCTAAGCAGTGTCAGCCATTTGTACAATACCTGTCTATATATAGGGGTAGACAGCAGTCAACTTTCTTTTCCAGTAGATAAAATTATTTATAATCTTGTCTAGGCCCGATCTCGATCTGTATTATGTAAATTTAAAGTGCATAAATTGAGCTCGCAAATCCATAATAAAAAGTTCTTTTGACGTTACACATGTACAGGAAAATATATGAATGTATTACCTGTACCTGGACATGGCCATTTACAGGCCGATAGAATGCCTTGTAATAACAGGTGTCAGTGATTAAATTACATCCTATATATATATAATATGCTAGCTGCAAGATTGTCTTAAAAACTTAAATCAAGAAATTCATTAAATTTAATGATAGTATTCACCCCACGGCTATGGAGCAAGGAATACAGCTTTTCAGCTATCTTATCACATTTACTTTTTGCTGATGACACCTGTGGTTCGTTCAAAGTCTGAAATATAAGTAATTTTCGTGGTGGTGGTGGTAGTGGTGGGAGGGGGGTCTTTGTTTGCGTGATATGAAAGGATCCACAAATTCATGCCCTCAACAAAATGTCAAATATCAAATATATAACAATTCAGCACTTCTTCAATCACGAAATGAAATCCCCGCAATTCAATATAATACCCCTTAAACCACACCGGATAATTTGACCCCACGACATGGGCATCATTTTATAGTTATAGTAAAATTGCTAGGTTTTGCATCTCAATATAGCATTGCATGTTTGAAACTTTGTAGTATATTATACATTTGTTACATGATCGTGAGGGAAATATGAAGATTTATTCAGCCAAGAAAAAACATTCCCCTATTCTTGGCTGAATAAATCTTCATGTTTCCCGAACACTCATGCAAAAAATTGTTTATTTTATACAGACACAAGCAAAAACTTGAAAAATAAACGTAAACTTTAAAGCGGATCTATTTACTTGTCTGTACCTGCTTCCATTTGTCATTCTAACAATAAACAAAACAAAAGTGCTTCAGCACTATTAAGAGCACTAATTGAATTCCCTCTCACATTGGTCTCTCTTGTTCTCTCAATTTTGAAAGAGGCACACTTGCTAATCATAACTATGCACTTAGTTTGATTGTTTGCTGAATACCCAGGAGCAGAGAAGATTTTCAAATAATTTATACAGTTTCACTTTATGATCATTACGGAAGTTACAGTACGAACACAAAAAGTTTCCACGCGCCTTTTATGCCAATTAAGTAATATTGGAAATTATGTATTTCTTGTAGTGAAATATTTATAAGTTAGTAATTACCTGTTTGACATCATTCTTTTCTCGGTGTCTAAGAAAAAGAAAAGTCCACCATAATACCTACATTGTACATGCTGTACAGGTACAAAACCGTCCAATTATTTAAATCTCTCCATTTCAAAATCTGACCAATAGATGTGTGTGTGGTCATGTAAAAGTATATATCTACAGGTGTGGATCCAAAGGGGTGTATATCTATGTCACTAAATACCCATGTTAATAAAGAATGGACAGAATGAAACTTTAATAGAAAACTTAATTATCATTTATGCATTTATAGCATATTTAATAGTTTATTTAATTTATATTTAATATTTATTTTATTTCATTTAAAATCATTTCAACTTTTATTATTTTAATAAAATTACCTCAGTCTACTTCAAATGTACTTCTGATTTTTTCTGTTGTTCATCTACCGGAATTTTTCGGGTATTCTGGTATATATATACTTTTTTTCTAAAATACCTTTGAGCACTTTGATACAAACTTTGAAAATTTAATTTAATCTATTGTATGCATTTCCATTTGGAAATAATCAATAAAAACCTGTGATAGGAGGGTTAAATCACTATTCAGATATGACCATAAAGTTTTCTCTCACTTCATTACAAAATTTATAATATTCAGAAATTAATATTACACTAGTGTAGGTTCTATAGTTTGATACATGTATGTGGATACATATTGTATTATAAATTTGCTATTTATTTGAAGTTATATTTTCTAAAGTGGTAAAATATGAATTAAGTCTCATATATAGATTTACAGTGCTGTTGTAAAAAAAGAAAAAAAAAATGCTAGCCCCAGCCTACTGAATGCCCATATAAGCACCTGTCCCAGTTTATACTTTGTACGGATCAATGTTGTCAGTTCCCTAACTGGAGTGTTAGAAAAACAAAACAAAAAAAGTAAGGCCAGAGACTTCCGGGTTCAGTATTACTGTTAAAAAAAATGCCTGACCAATCCTACTGAATACAAATATACCCGATACCTGTCCCATTAACTCTGTTCCAATCTGATCCTGTGTATTAATGTAGTGGTCCCTAAAAGAAAAAATATTAGGGGACACCCGGGTTCGAACCGGGGACCTCTCGATCTGCAGTCGAATGCTCTACCACTGAGCTATATCCCCTCTTGATATTTTAGCTGTTTGTAATCGTTTAAAACAAGTTGATTAACATTCAGTTTTAAGATTTCTCTATTTTCATGTTTGCGTTTTCTCTTTCAGTTGATGGTCGAAAAGCTTTGTTAACTTTGTACAACAGATAGGACTGGCGCTCTACGAAAACAAAGAAGATAACACAATACCGTTTCATTATTAGACCAGTCTATTTCATTATATAAGAAATCCGGAATAAACATACATGTATAACGTTCCGGTTCCGGCGATTATATGTTTGCAATACACACGTGGGGAACCTCATGGAATAATGACATAAAGTGCGTGGATTGTGTGCTAGTGGTTGTATAGCAGACTTTAGAAAGATCAGATAAACTACATAGATTAAAAAAAAGAAATGTCGACGGAGAAACAATAGACTTACATTCAGGGTAAGTTTACTAAACTGTTGATCTAAACTGTTTAGATCAACAGTTAACAGCCGACACAGTATGCATTGCCAGTGGGCAGCTGGTGGGTAAAAAAACAAAAAAAAAAACAAAAAAAAAACACGGGCACTAGAAGTTAATGTAAATATTGAGTATGTGCATGTATAAAATGCATGCACATACTCTACTTCTACATTTATATTCAGTGCCAATGCTTCATAAAGGTAAAATATGCAGACATGAAATTTGTTGATAAATTTAAAAAGTTGAATTGTTCGATCAGTTTATTACAGAATTAACATCATTTTTTGTAAGTTAAAAGTTAACATGTGGTTATTGATGCAAGTTTTCATCAGACATAAGTAAAAATGTTATGTCTCTGGTTTCAATTTACATTGCAATTTCAGCACATGAAACATTCTGTACTTTCAGATGATGAAATTTAGTAGATTGAATGAATCGTCAACAGCAGATCAAAAGAAGGACACGAATGTGGTAGATTTTATCTTCCTATTTGAATGTTAGATGGTTTTACCCATCTGTAACTGTACACATGGTATACCTCAGTCATGATTGATTGACCCACACCTTTTGACACAACAGTCCACTGATTTTTTATTTCTTGACAAAGAGTAAGACAGATCAACCTAAATTATTTTAATTCATTGAACAGTCATAGAAGAATGCATATGTATTCCTTTTTCCTGTATCTTATGTAAAACAAAAGAAAAAAAACAAAAAAACAAAAAACAAAAAAAAAAAGATGATACAAATGACTGTGTTACCCTTTGTAAAATTTTGTCTTATCAAATATCCATACTTGATAAGCACTTTTTTAAAATATTTGTTAAACATTAGAATTTTTATTTAGAGTTAAAATATCTACCATTTACTTTTTAAAAATCATTTCTAATTTAAATACTTTATATTGAAATATATATAAATATTGTGCGGCCAAACTTTTATTAATAGTCAATAACTTCTCTGAAGTGACTTTGGGTTGGGGCTGAAGTGACTTAAGGCCAGACTCTCTGATTGCCTTTCATTTTTTTTTCTTCGTTTTTTTTTTTTGGTTTTCATTTACTTTTGAATTTATGGTATAAACTTTTTCCTTATCATCATTGGCATGAGGTTTAAACTCAGTTTTGTTTGATATCTGATTAAAATTTTTTATTTAATTAAAACTTAAAGTTTAGACAGTAATTTGGAATATAAGTATATGATATATTTCTAAAGTGAATGATAAATTAGCCAAGTAAACAAACACTTTTTCATCAAATTTCTAGGTCCTACAGAAGTTAGGACGATTACTAACTGACACACAGCATGTGGAGAAGGTATGTCAGAGCTGCAGAAAGAATGTCCTAGATCTAGTTCATCGAGCTCGAGATGCTATTGCTGAGATACAGGACGAGATGTCTCGGAAAGAGAAACAGCAGATGTACTGTGTGGCCTTAGCCAGAATTCTTGAGATGTGTCCTTATATCATAGGGTAAGGGGTTGTTTTAATGTACAATTAATTTCATATGTATTATGTACAGAGTTTTCAAAAACAGTTTGTCCTTTGACAATCTCAGTAAAAGTTTGTCTGGACCGGTATCTTAATATAACAAAACATCGGTCCAAATGATCATTTGAAAAATATAATAATGGTATTGCCAAATATGCTGAGTGTAATAAGTATTTTTGGTATACTTTATACAGTAAAACTCGGTTAAAGCGAAGTTCTGGGGACCTTTCAATTTACTTCGTTATGTCCTTAATTCGTTATATCTGTATGATGAATTCATTGAATTATATATAGTGAATTCGCAATACACGTTTTTCTGTATATATATTTGCCGACTAGGTGTAGGGAAGTATTAGATACAAAAGAAATTCTTGGAGAATTAAAAATTTAAAATGAATTTAATTTCAAACGTAAATAATCATGGAAAATAATGTTCAATTAAAATCATCAATACTTCAGTTTTTTTTTATCTTTAAAATCCATTATAAAAGATGTATATTGCATTACTTTTAAGTTCTAGGAGATACAAAATCAATTCGCTATATCTGTAAATTCGTCATATCTGTGTTCTTTATAACCGTAATATTTTACAAGGATTTGTCAAGATTTTTGCCAAGGATCTCAAAAAACTTTGTTATATCAGTAAATTTGCTATATCTTTGTTCATGCTAAACAAGTTTTACTGTAACTATATAATAAGGCTGATAGCATTTATTATTTTCTTTTGACTAATATATAATATGAAAAAAAGACCAGATTAACGAATTTGATAGAAAAGCTAGTGAGAGATTGCGACTGCAGAAACAGGGAGCCATTCATTGTTCAAATTGTTTCATTTACAAAATAATTTAAGATATACATTTCTACATGTACATCAAATATCAGAAATATTCATTTGTTGGACAGATATATTGCTAATTTTACTTGTCCAACCTAGTTTATACTTTCCACAGACAGTCAGACAACCATTACTGTCTGTCATGTATCGTAAATGCCTGTACTAGGATCAAAGTAAATTTTGTACATTTATCATTTCATGTTGCAGGTTTGTGGACAGTGTTGTGAGGTCATGTGACAGTTTCTTTCATTTACGGCATAATTCCGAAACCCAGGTCTGTATAATATAAAGAATTGGAGGTAATCACACACAAAATGTTGAATAATTTTGTAAATGCTTGGTTATCAAAAGAAGTAAAGCACATTACTTAAAAAATATTTGAAATACACACAGTTTTCAAACTCAAAAAAAAATCAGCTTTGCATTTTGAAAAAAATTCTTTTACAGTTTGTTCTCGACTTAACAAAAGCAACCTTGACCTTGACAAGGAGACTTCCAAGCATTCCCTTTGACCTGCATTCTCTATTGGAGTTTTTGAGACAGGAAAATGGCAAGCTAGAAACCGAGGCATTGTGGTAAATAATAAAACGATTATACTCACTTAAGACAAAATGATATGAGTCAGATTTATTTTATTAACAGCTTTTTTTTCAACATCAAATCTGCATCAATTTGCCATTAATAAGCTTTATGTTTTGGTAAGTAAAGTTTTAAGGTTAATGAAAAGAATATGTTATGACTAAGTATGTAAAATTTAATTGCTATTTTATAAAAGTTTTTCAGTAAAATGCTGCATACATTCATAGTTTAGTTAAATTTTGTTGTAATTGTGAAAAAAGCATGGTACTTGAAAAAATAGTTTCAAACTGAAATGTAATTATTTGATGTAGGAATGTTCTTGGTGCCCTTGGAGAAGCAGTGCGGTTGTCAGGGAAACAGAAGAAGGACCTGCTGCAGTTAATTCTGTTGTCAAGGGCAACCAAGGCACAGTTAGAGAGTGGGGAGTCCCACAGGAAGAAGAAAAAACACAGTAGGAGGGACCGTGGAGGGACACAGCCAGGGGTCGTAACCATGGAGAACTCTGACCTTGACCTGGAGATAGCTAGGTGTGCAGGAATCTGGGGATTAAATTTTTTTGTTTGATTTTGATTTGATTGAGTTACTTAAAAATGGGATAAAAGCACAGCTATTGTTTGATAGCAGGGGTCTGATAGCGAAGGAATGATTAAGTTTGATAATTTCATACGTGTACTGTTGATCACCAAATTTTCACAACACCTTATTTTCGTGAGTTATATATTTGGTATTTATAAGCACGAATGCTGATTTTAATTGTATTTATCCTATGCTAATAAATATATATGCTAGAATAAAATTTTTGCGAGCAGACCTTCTTGTTTAACTATGCGAAAATAAAGTTCTTGTGAATTAAAAGTGATATACATTATGGTGCTAAATTTCCGTAGAAGTTGGCAAAACATTGAAAATAAGTTTTAAAAGTCTTATAAAAATTCAGAAGAAAAGAAAACTTTCACACAATTGTTTTTTTTATTTCGTATGTATTTTAATATAAATGCATCTGTTGAATTCTGTTTTCATTTTCTGGTTGTTTGTAGAATCTACAGTCCTGCTGTCTCCTGCCTGCAGAAGACTACCGTGACAACAAGAATTGGGACACTGAATTCACAGGAAGTGACATCAGCAATGGAGGATCTGGATACCAGGGAAGAACTGCTTCACAGAGGCGTGGTCCGAGTGGCCGGACTTCTGCTTCCTCGTGTCAAAAATACTGAAAGTGAGGTGAGTGTTTGATACAGATCATTTGTCATAAAATTTGTCTAGTACCTACATTTTTATGCCCCCGGATCGAAAGATCCTGGGGGTATATTGTTTTTGTCCTGTCTATCTGTTTGTCTGTCTGTCTGTTGTCAACTTTAACCTTGCCCATAACTTTTGATTGGTCTGAGGTATGACTTTCATATTTCACATGTGTATTCCTTGTGACAAGACCTTTCTTTTGGTACCGACATATTTGACCTTTTGACCTTGACCTTGGAGTTTGACCCACTTTTGCAAAATTTTATGAGACTTTAACCTTGGCCATAACTTCTGAACAGTTGGTGCTTGGGGTTTCAAACTTCACATATGTATTCTTTGTGACAAGGCCTTCTTTTTCATACTAACAACTTTGACCTTTTGACCTTGACCTTGGAGTTTGACCTACTTTTGAAAAACTTTAACCTTGGCCATAACTTTTGAACAGTTGGTGCTTGGGGTTTCAAACTTCACATGTGTATTCCTTGTGACAAGACCTTCCTCTGGATATGAACCTCTTTGACCCTTTGACCTTGACATAGGAGTTTGACCTACTTTTGAAAAACTTTAACCTTGGCCATAACTTTTGAACGGTTAGAGCTAGGGCTTTCATACTTCACATATGTAATCCTTGTGACAAGACCTTCCTTTGGATACCAACCACTTTGACCCTTTGACCTTGACATAGGAGTTTGACCTACTTTCGAAAAACTTTAATCTTGGCCATAACTTTTGAATGGTTGGTGCTAGGGTTTTCATACTTTACATATGTAATCCTTGTGACAAGACCTTCCTTTGGATACCAACAACTTTGACCTTGACCTTGATGTTTTACTTACTTAAAAAAACTTTAACCTTTGCCATAACTTTTGAACAGTTGCAGCTAGGGGTTTCAAATTTAACATTTTTTATCTTTTGGCCTGGATTTTGACTTGCATTTGAGAAACTTTAACCTTTGCCATAAGCTGCCATATGGGGGCATCAGTGTTTCACAAACACATCTTCTTCTAAATAATAATGATTCAGGTTCCCCATCCCCAAAGTTGTGTTGCACGTATTATAAATGCAGGACTTACTGCAAGGTACGGGGCCTTATTTACAGAAGAAACATTTTCATTTTTCATTCTGCTTGCAGGAGACCTGTAAACTGGTCCCCGTCTCCTCAATGAAGGCCAACCTACAGAGTTTGACTCTGGCTGTAGCGTCTGGTAATCCGGTTCTACTACAAGGACCAGTGGGGTGCGGGAAAACCAGTCTGGTTCAGTACCTGGCTGTGAAGGTGGGCAGGGTGGGGGCACCGGAGTTTATGAAAATTCAGCTGGGAGACCAGACAGATAGTAAGGTAAGTGTTATTGTAGTAGGAATTCTTGTGTCCTGCAGAATCTAAGAGAAAAATGGGTTTTGCATTCATTTGTGTTGGTCATGATTTCATTTTAGAAATATAAACAATTGTATACAATTTCCTGAACAAGGTTTTTAACCAAGTACAAGTTTATGTGTGAAAGTTATTATTATGTTTATGTACAAAATATTGAATTCTCATTTCATTTACTGCATATTTTTACAGACATTGTAATATTAATATCATTTCATGGTTACAAGGAATTTATAATAGATTAAGAAAAATCAAAAACAAGTTTGAAAATGAATTGTAAAATGTTCTGATAGATTTTGCTGAATATCATAGAATAATATACAATTATGGACTTATTTTTGTAGGCTCTACTGGGTACGTACCATTGTACAGACATCCCCGGGGAGTTTGTTTGGCGGGCGGGAATCCTGACACGGGCGGTGATGGAGGGACACTGGATTCTTCTGGAGGACATAGATTACGCCCTGATGGATGTGGTGTCAATCCTACTCCCCCTCCTGGAGCGGGGAGTGCTGTCCGTACCGGGTCACGGAGACAATGTTCAGGCTCATCCCGAGTTTAGGATGTTTGCCACACAAAGGTATATTTATAATGAAAGCTTGTGAATGCATATAAATGTTGTATCCTAAAGTTTATAAACATTGCTTCATCATATTTTGAACTTACCTTTACTTTATTTTGTACACCAAACTACTCATTTTCAAATTGATATTTCTGTATTGAAATAAAATCATTTACATTGCAGAATTTTGTTTATCTTTTCATCTAGCAAATTAAACATTTTTCTTTATAAATGATTATGACAATGTATTGCAGGTTGCTGGGAGGTTGCAGTGGTTGGTACAGACAACAGAGCAGCAGCTCCGTGTTGCTGGAGAAGATGTGGACAAAGGTCAACATTCAGCCCCTGTCTAAGGACGAACTCCGTGAGGTAATCAACACCGTGTTCCCACAGTTGTCCACGGTAACGGATCGTCTGCTGGATATTTACTTCCTGTTGTCAGCGGGGAAACACGAGATCACAGGAGAGGAAGTAGTGACGTCCACCGTCGGGAAGTTCCTGTCAAATGAAGGCCGTCTTATCTCCACCAGGTATTTATAGCGTTTTTCTATGTATGTGTACTTGTACATGTATATTTTATGGCAGTTGTATGTTGACTGTCCATTATTTTTACTTTGTTATGAATGTGAATGTACGATTTTAGGATATCTTTCTTATATATACATGTATAATGAAAACATTCAAAATTAGGGCACACTTAAATATTCAAGTTCAGTGTCCTAAGAATTCGCATTTCCCTTTATTTGATGTTCTTAAATTGCTGAAAATTTCCTTATTTTTAATAATTGTTTTTAAACAGATTCTGAAGCTTTCTTACGCAAATTAATACATGGCAAAGTTTTGTCAGACTGAAAATCAATGTATACATGCTTTGACAGGGATCTTATGAACTGGTGTCGTCGGATTGCTCTGGATTTTCAAATCCAGCAAACCTCCACGGCTGGTCTGGTACTACAAGAGGCCCTGGACTGCTTCACTGCCTGTATCCCCAACCCCCTGAGGCGAGTCCAGGTGGCTCAGGCGATCGGGGCCAAACTGAACATCACTCCAGACAGAGTAAGTCTGACATTAATGGGGTTGATAGTAAATTGACATCTTTTGATTTATATCAGCAACAGCAGATAAGCCAAAGTGGTAGATACATTTACTTACAGGTATGTTAAGTTTCTACAGGAGACAATTGTTTGTATGTATATGACATTGTATCTGTATGTATCCACATTAGAATGCTGTTACATGGTTACATGTATGTGTATGTCAGAGTAAGTTAATGATTCTATACTGGGCTGTCCACAAAATCAAGCATTGTATTGGACATTTTAGGCTGAGTACTTTTGCACTAAGTATAAACCCAGCACAGAGATAACAATGGAGAAATTTACAGTGGGGAGGGTCATTCTGGACAGACAAGTGATGGATCCCTCACTCAACCTTATCAGGTCAGTATTCTGTATCACTTGGGGGGTTGAAGGAGGGATTTCAAAATACAATTTGTTTAGTGAAAATTGAAGAGAATAAGGTCTACCTTGTATTGTTATAGTTAATATATATTTGCATTCTTCTTCTTGATTATAAAGACAAAGTTTGATTTGATTCTATTATAGGATAACCTGTGGAAGCATATTTTAATATTTCTCATCTCTTTATAACAGTTTCCCTCAAATAAAATAGTTTCCTTTAACTAACTGGGCATTGTAACAATGTTATATTTGTTTAATTTCCTTCAGAACAAGGACAACATTTTCCTTTACCCGACAGGCCTCAGCATTGCTGGAGAGGGTTGCTATGGCAGTCAAGGAAAACGAACCAGTTTTATTGGTCGGGGAAACTGGAACTGGTAAAACATCCAGTGTCCAGTATCTGGCTGCTCAGTTAGGTAATAACTTCTTAGGTTTTCACTGGATTTTGTCAAGTCTGTCTTAAAAAAGGAAAATGAAGTCAATACATTTATTTTAAATTTTAACTCTCAGTCATTAAGATTTGAACTTTAAATTGGAATTTTTTTTTTCAAATCCTTGTTGTACTGAAAATGTCAAATATGCTACTTTGCTAAGAAATAAAAGTTTTTAATCATGTACATGATATTGAAGAAATTTCAAGTACATTATAAAGTACTAGTATACAGATGGTAGTTTTAAAATTGACTAATTCATTTTTCTGAATTTGTCCTCAGGTTATAAGCTACGTGTGATCAACATGAATCAACAAAGTGATAGCTCTGATCTACTGGGAGGGTAAGATGGAATTTTATTGAGATTAGGCATCATAATATTGAAAGTAAATGATAATTTATACATGTAGGAATAACATTTTCTATGTAATGTGTGAATGCAATGAATTAGACTACTCCACAGTGGAAATTAACCAGGAACATGTTCACAGATAGCAGAAACATGTATTAGAAATGATAAACTTGAGACTAGATAAAGAGAAAAACATTTGACAGAGACTCCACACAAGTTTTGATTTAGAGCCTGAGAAATTTCTTTACTCTCTCTAGGTTTAAACCTATGGATCTGAAGATAATAGTAAAACCTGTGAAGGAGGAGTTTGAGACCTTGTTCTGTTCCACATTCTCTGCCTCAGAAAACGCTAAATTCCTCAGTCATATCCAGGTCAGATTTCTGTGTAATGGCATTTGAACATGTACAAAATTAATAAAATATCTGTACATCCAGGAAAATCCATAGCTGTGTAGGAAAAGTCTGGCATCATTGAATTTAGTAACAGCTGATAAATTTGAAAGCTTGATATCTAACTTTATCCACAGTTTGTCAAGCATTTTAATATAGATGTCAATTGGAAACTGTTTCAGTAGAAAGAGATTTTCCTCAACTCCACGAAGAAAAACTGTCCTATTTTTACAAATATGAAAGAATTAATCTTGAAAGAATTTAAAAATACCATACCAATATTTTTCAGGCTTTGCATGTACATGTAATTAAGATATTAAAAACTTTATGAATTCAACAGTTTTATAATAATTGACAAATGTATATGCTATTAAAGAAGAAAGACATTTCACATGAAATGCTGTAAACTTTTTCTTTCACAGGAGAACTTTTCCAGAAGTAATTGGGCCAATTTATTTACCCTGATGGAACACACGGTAGAGCCTGCCTTAAAACGAGGCAAAGCAGGTAGGTACTTATATACATATACTACAAGTAACTTATGCCTTAAATGAGGTAAGGTAGATCAATACAGAATATTAAGCTTATAGATTAATTTAATATGTAAAAAAGGAACACTCAGTAATTTACTAGAATTGGAAGTACATGTGTAACTGATATGTACTGCAACTGAAAATTGTGGCAGAATTCACATTAATCATAAGTTCCACAAACTCTCACTCATATTTACTAAATTCCTAATTTAAATCAAGGACTTGCACAGTTTATTTGAATTTTAAAATGAGACTGAATTTTGTTTAACCTAGTATGTGTATAAAGATTTTTTGTCCCAACTCCACTGAAAGCATTATGTTAATTTTTGAAGACATTTATTTCATTTACAGGGAAACTTAATGTTGAGTTGCACACCAAGTGGAAGAATCTAAAAATCAGAATCAAACGGTTAAAACTGCAGGTCAAAAGGTCAGAGAATGCCCTGACCTTCTCTTTTATAGAGGTGAGTCTATGTTGACTTATAATAGGAGCTCTTGTACTTTGTTTTAAATCCACTAGTAATGGGGAGGGTCATTTCCTGTAAATCAAATGGTAGAATTTAGACAGGTAGTCATGTACATGAACAGTGTATGTTGAACTTGTAATACATGATTGTATAACAATTATGTGTCTTTAAACTTGTATATACCTACCAGACTTGTACATGGTAACTTTACACTAGATTTAGTAGGAAATTACAGTTCTTTCTGCATACCAGTTGACAGCATGGTGTAGGTTTCAAAGTGGAGGGGCACTGCACTTAGTGGAGCTTATAGAATTAAGTTTTCAAAGTTGATATAAAGCTTGTGCTATAAAAATTATAACTTGAAAGTTATTCCTCACCTTATCCCCCTCCCTTGGAAATCCTGGATCTGCCTTTTGTAAATTCAGATATTGTATGTTTTGCAACAACTCAGAGTGTGACTATATTGGTAGGTACCTGTGTACTATACATGATATGGTTTGTAGGGCACACTTGTAAAAGCTCTGAGGGAGGGAGACTGGGTGTTATTGGATGAGATCAACTTAGCAGCCGCTGAGACTCTGGAGTGTTTGAGTGGATTACTGGAGAGTACTAAAGGCTCGATTGTACTCACAGAGAGAGGGTGAGTGGACTCAGAGCCTATTTCAAGTTCATGTCTCATTCATAAGACTTTATTGTGTGAAGGAAGTTTCGTTTAAGTAAATATCCTGGTTAGTCTCAATTTGTTTAATGAAGACTGGGTAAAACATACACGTTTATTCTTCAAATATTCTTTTTTCATCAGAAATGCAGTAAAATTTTGTACATACATGTACATGTATATAAAGTTTTATTTTCCTGACTTGAAGTGACATCTCCCCAATACAGAGGCATGAGACCTTTAGGATATTTGCCTGCATGAATCCAGCTACAGACGTGGGGAAGAAAGATCTACCTATAGGTGTCAGAAACAGGTCAGTGAATTGTTAATGAGGTCATAGTTGTGTCCGATACAGTTATGAGTTATACATATCTGGTAGGTTTACTTAGTTTTACTTGTATAACTAACACAGATTTACAGAGTTTTACTTGTTACACAGGTTTATGTTACTTTACACAGGTTTACAGAGTTTTATGTGGACGAGTTGGAGGAGGAACAAGACTTGAGGATTCTGGTCAGTGATTATCTCTCCTCCCTCTCTCTCACCCCGACCCACATCCAGGGCATCGTCAAGTTCTACCTTGCTGTGAAGAAAGCAGCGGTAGACAAACTGATGGACGGGACCGGACACAAGCCACACTTCAGTCTGAGGACATTGTGTCGGGCTCTGAGGTTCGCGGCGTCTAATCCCTGTGGACAAGTGTCCAGGTCCCTGTATGAGGTAGGGAAGATAGAACTTTACAGTCATTAAAATCCAGTGATTCTGTTTTCATAATCACTAGCGATGCAGAATAAGATGTACTCAAAGATGCCTTGTTAACAAATTTTTTTTTTTTAAAATGTTTGTTTTTGAAATTTTTTCTAAATTTCTCTTACTGATAGGAGAAAATGATATGTTGTAACTAGATGTAAATATGTTTAATTTATGTACCTAATTGTATAAGACATAGGTATTGAAAATATGCAATGCATACGAATTTAATTAAATATTTTTCAGGGTTTCTGCCTGAGTTTCCTGACCCAGTTAGATAGAGCCTCTCACCCCGTGGTTGTGAACCTCATCACGCAACACATTGTGGGCAAGTCCAACATCAAGTCCCTCCTGAAGCAGGGGATCAGGGAGCCCCTAGAGGGAGGGTGTCTACAGTTTGAGGGGTACTGGGTGTCAAAAGGCAGGGCCACACCCACTGTGCCCAGTAATTACATCCTTACACCCTCAGTCAGGGCTAATCTTAGGGATCTGGCCAGGGTTGTGTCAGCAGGGTAGGTCTTTAGTGTCACTAGCTTGCTGGTGTTTTACAAATGAGTGTATTTCGATGCCGGTCTTTCTATAGATTTTACAAATGAGCGTATTTCTATCAGTCATTGTTTACCTATTACACAATGAACATTTACATACATGTATATGAAAAATTTCTTTATAATAAGCAGTTTTTATTTGAATTTTTTTATCACTTGTATATCCAAATATTTTGATAAGGTAACAGAAACTAATAGAAAAAAATTTATGAAACATAAAACAAAATTAGATCTGAACTCTGACATTTTCAGAAGCATACTCTCATGTACATGTATGTTTTTTCTGTCTTCTAAATATAGACAACACCCAGTTCTGCTCCAGGGAGAAACCTCAGTAGGTAAGACAAGCTTGGTGAATTATTTAGCTCAGAGCAGTGGAAATGTGTGTGTACGTGTGAACAACCATGAACACACAGACCTACAGGAGTACGTGGGATGTTACTCAGCAGATCAGACAGGCAAACTCGTGTTCAAAGAAGGTCAGTACCTACTGATACATACAGGTATACCCCCTTTACTGTCTTTGTAAGTTCACTGTGATATTTTAATTTCTAAAAACCTGTCATGACAAAAATAAAACTATTCATGTATTTCTCATTGTGAAGTATTTTATATCAGATATAAAATACTTCACAATGAAAAATACATGAATATTTTTATTTTTGTCATATACAGATAATCTGTACATATTATAATTCTATTCTCTCTGTAAATTGGACATTTGGTGTGCATTGACTTCACAGTTTTAATTTTAACTGTATTTTTTTTATACAGGTGTGCTTGTTGAGGCCATGAGGAAGGGACACTGGATCATACTGGATGAATTGAACCTGGCTCCAACAGATGTTTTAGAGGCCCTCAACAGGGTAATGTCTCCCAGTTCTATATCTCAATGATCACTGCTATCTATGGTTAATAAAGTAGTAAATCTAAATCTAGTTGCCACTGTGACCGATGATTTTTGAGGCCCTAAACAAGGTAATGGGGTCTCTATTCCTGGCCTGGATCAACACCAACATCAATTAAACTCTTAAAAAGCTATGAGTTTGGCGTGTTGTATCTCAGTATAGTCCATATAATGGTTACAGTTGAAGCCTGTAAATCTGAATGCTTTTGATCCCATTTAGCAAACAAATTGTCTAGATTACTGACTTGTTCAAACTACTGAAACAATTTTTATAATTGGTAAATGTAAAATTTAATTTCTGATTTCTGTTCTGTTTCTAATTTCGTCCAGAAGGTAAACCATCCGGATTATTGGCACCCAGATTATGATAGCCCCACTGTATACTGCAGATAATGATTGTTATAAAATTTCCCTATTCTTGTACTTTTATTCAGTCTTCAGTGTACATGACGATACATGACTTGTATATGCTAAACTTTTTGATCAAATCACTTGTGTCATTTGTCTGATCTTGTGAATATTTCAGCTTCTGGATGACAATCGAGAACTTTTCATCCCTGAGACCCAGGAAACAGTGAAGGCTCACCCAAAGTTTATGTTGTTTGCCACCCAGAACCCCCCGGGCTTGTATGGGGGACGCAAGGTAGGGAACTTATATTTAGACAATGTTGTTTGCCACACAGAACCCCCAGGACTATATGGGGGACTTAAGGTAGGGACCTTACAGTATATTGAGACTTTCATGTACACAGTACATGAAAAAGTGATTGTTCTTTGACAGGATCATCATGATTATAATTGTTGACAAAAAGAAAATATTGAGTGTTACATGTGCATGTACTTGAACCTTCCAAATGTACTCTAATTCTGTATGTGAAATTCTTAGCTTGATCTTCAAATAAGATTTGAAATAAATTAAAAAGCAATTGATTGTTTTTACCAGATGTATTTTCTTATACATTATTTACAGATTCTGTCAAGAGCCTTCAGAAACCGATTTATTGAGCTCCATTTTGATGAGATTCCGAGTTCTGAGCTTGAGACAATCCTTCACCAGAGATGTGATCTACCTTTGTCTTACACCAAACGACTTGTGGCAGCCATGTTAGATCTGCAGGTAGAGTTTGTGTACTGTTTCTGTAGATTGTTTGAAATATTTGAGGATGTGAGTAATGTTTTCTTTTTGTCTGTTTTGTGGTACATACGTTTATCAGGGTATACTTCAAATTAAATTAATTCACATTATTTAACACAAGCATGATTTTAGTCAGGAAGAATTTCATAAATGTATAAATTTGAAAAATCTTTCTATGCAACATTGAAATACATATTTTTTTAAATGCTTTATTTTTGAAAAAAAATTCTTTATAATTATACAATGGTAAGATCTGAACTGAAATACATAATGAAAGTGAATTCCCTCTATAATCTCTTGAATAAAAAGTTTTAGATTGTACATGAAGATGAAGAATAATCATTGATAGACTGATAGGGATCCAGCTTTAATCTATTGTGTTGTTTTTACTACAGACCAGAAGACGTGGATCGGGAGTATTCGCTGGGAAACAGGGCTTCATGACCCTCAGAGACTTGTTTAGGTGGGCAGATAGGTACAAGTGCAAAGAGGTCAAACTAGAGAAGAAGTTTTATGACTGGGACCAGCACATGGCTGACCATGGTTTGTATAAAATAATCTGCTGTAGTGCGTTAAAGGGAGATAATCTCACTTGTTCTAGTTTGTAATACGTGCATAATTCAAAGAAAAGTGGATGTTGTAGAAGGTTAATAAAAAAAATATAAAAATACATGGATCTCTTCATTACATGATGTAAGAAACTCAAGTTCAGACAATAATTTTCAAAGAAAAGGAGATTAAAACTGTTTTGAAGTTTGATTTGTTTAAATGAAAAATGTGAATCAACAGACAAGTACATGCTCACTGTACATGTTCACATTTGTTTTGTGGATACAGTAATTATCATTTCTACATAAGTAAATACCATCTCCCTATTGTACAGGTTACATGTTGCTGGCGGGCAGAGTGAGAAAACCGGAGGAGGCAGCCATTGTACAGGAAGTGATTCAGAAGCATCTCAAACGCACTGTTGACCCTGATCAACTGTTTACGCTGAACTCCCAGACATCACCTACCACAGTGTCAATACTGAAGAGGGTGATGGGAGACTCACCGGCGGGATTTGAACACATTGAGTGGACGTACGGAATGAGACGCCTGGCAGTTCTGATTGGTCACGCTGTACAGTTTAGAGAACCTGTCCTTCTTGTGGGGGAAACTGGGTAAGTCAGCATGCACAGCCCATATTCTCAGGGAAAAAGAGCTGAAAATTTCATTTAGAGCTTATTTTAAATGTGAATTATTGCCTGAAATGAAAAATAAAGGTTTATATGGAAAATAAATTGAGCTCAGTGACCTTAAGTCATATCCAAGATGTGCCATCTTTTAACATACAGTCGAACCTTGTCAACTCAAACTCAATGGGACTAAAATTAAACCTTCAAGATATGCAAAAATTTGTAATAATGAGTGTAAAAAATCATCAAAAACCATGGTTTGGACTGCCAACTCTTTTAGATATTGCTGGTATTCTAGATATTGGTGTTCGAGAAAATGAAGTTCAACTGTATATATATATACAGTGTATTTCTCTAATTTTTCTTTCTACTAATTAAAAATGACATTCATTTCAACATTTAGAACCATAATGTCCAACTTAAAATGCATAAAAATTCCTGTATCCTTTTGTTATTTAGTTGTGGTAAGACAACCATCTGTCAGCTGTTGTCCAAGTTACACGACCTTGACCTACATTCCATCAATTGTCACCTTCACACAGAGAGTGCCGATTTTCTGGGAGGACTTCGACCGTGTCGGTCTTACAGCGAGGAGGTATGAGTTCATACAACTTTTACAATTACAAATAATCATTGATTTTTAACAACATGTAGGATTTATGTCCACCTGGGTTTTAGAGGTAGAAAAGATTATGAAATTTCATTTGTTGCAAATTTAAAATTAAAGCAGTAACTTATTCAGGTATTTGCCAATCTCATGATTGAAACAGATTTCTTTTAAAAGAAATAAAGTATGAGAGAGAATGCATATTAAGGAATTTTTTTAAGGATTCAGGCGGTCCTAAGAAGTTGTTTGAGTGGGTGGATGGTCCTCTGGTCAATGCCATGAGACGAGGGGACATGTTTCTTATTGACGAGATCTCATTGGCTGACGACTCCGTTCTGGAGCGGCTGAACAGTGTGCTGGAACCTGAACGGACCCTCCTGCTGGCTGAGAAGGGCGGGGAGGATGGAGGGGGGAATCAGGTTGAGATCGTGGTGGCGGCTGACAGGTTTCAGGTGTTCTCCACAATGAATCCCGGCGGGGACTTTGGTAAAAAAGAGGTAACTGATTGGCTATTTATTTATAGACTGTTGAAATTACATACATGTATCTTTTATCTGTCATTAGTCTATAGTAGATTATGTAACTGTTGAAGTATCATGGGGTCCAATGTTCATTGACTTGTGTAGTTCACCTGTACCCATAAATTTTTATTCCTAAGAACAATAACTTTGTCTGTATAGGTTCATTGAATACTTTATATAAACAAGTAAACCAAAATTGTACTTTCCCTAGAAACTGTTGGTTGCTTATAAACAGTGACCCCCATTGAAATTATTCCACAGTCTATATATCTCATTGAACAAATATTTTCAACCATCGGCTTCATATATACTACTTGAATAACATTTCCGGTACAAAATTTACTTAAATTTTTGTACCAAACAGTTATCCCCAGCTCTAAGAAACCGTTTCACAGAAATCTGGTGTCCTCAGACCAGTGAACGAGCCGACCTGATACGCATCATTGAGCACAACCTGTCACCTGGTATTCACCTTGGTAACCAGGAGGATGGGACAAGTGGAGTGGGTCGGGTCATCATGGACTTTGTGGACTGGTTCACCAATAACGATCTAGGGAAAAGGTGAGGATACCAGTTTATTTAATTAGATTCTGTGTACATGTACAATGTACATCTTGACACATTCATTGTTAAAGTCTGTAAATCAAGCAAAAAACAGTAAATGAAACAGCAATAGGTAATGATGCTTTTAGACTAACTTTAGAGTTGGCAATGCTGATTGAACTAGAGGGTGTTTGGTTTACTTGTAAGCCAATATTAATATTCATGGCTTTACATACTAAAACTTTAGTAATGATGAGGGGAAAACAATGCTGGTTTTATTCTAGGCGTGCAGTATCTCAGTGTGGTTTTAATTTTAGGTGTACTGTGAGTATCCGTGACATCCTGTCCTGGGTCAACTTCATCAATGTCTGCTCAATCAAAATAACACCGGACGCCATGGAGACAGAACCAGGATATAACCATTTAGAACCAGTTGTGGCCTTGATCCACGGAGCATGCTTGGTGTTTCTTGATGGACTAGGAGCAGGTAATATGATTGTATTGGCTACATTTTCATGTTAACAATAACTCATTGTATTCAATTAACAAATGTCATAAGAGTGCATTTGTAGCATTTGCTGTTGGTAATTTTCATTTACAAGTAACAGTCTTAGAAAAGTAAATCTTTTATAAGAATTTCTATTTGGGTCAGTTGGTATTGCATGTAAAATTATTTTGAGTTGACTATTTGTTCAACTAGGAACCACCAGTAGAGGTCGTGACTCAGATATCGCAAGTCTGAGATCTGCCTCTCTCTCACATCTCCTACATCTCATCAACCAAATATCTCACCAGTCACATGATCTGAAATCTCTTGGACTATTGGACAAGAATTCTGGGACCTTTGAGGGGGTAGTGAAAGTGACACCAGATGCGTTTTGTGTTTGGCCATACAGCATTGATCGAGGTATTGAGTTCTTATGGTAACAAATAGCTTAGCTATTATATGAAATATATTTCAATCCCAGAATGCAGTGTAATTTTGAATGAACAAATAGCATAGCTAAATATGAAATATATTTCAATTCCAGAATACAGTGTAATTTTGAATGAACTTTTATAAAAACTGCTATTGCTGAGGAAGTATTGCCTTGACTTCCATCAAATATTTAACTGGCTTAATATGCAAGCAAATTCAAATTACTTTTATATGGCAAGCAATTTCAATATAAATGAATATAAATATACATGAATAAGTGCATACCGTACAGTATATGCAAATTGCAAAATAATTTTATAATGCATATGAATTAAATGGTACTATTTACATGTAAATTTGTTTCATGGTACATTTACATGTAGCGTGAAATTCAGTTATTATTTGTTAAGGTGTGCTTGAGAGTGGTCTGGATGAGAAATATGCCCTCCAGGCTCCTACCACTTGTGTGAATGCCCAGAGAGTCTTGCGGGGTCTGCAGCTGCCCCGCCCTTTGCTTCTGGAGGGATCTCCAGGGGTGGGGAAGACAAGTCTGGTGGCCGCCATCGCTAAAGCAGCAGGAAAGGAACTGGTCCGCATCAATTTATCAGAACAAACGGTGAGCCATGAACTAAAGAAAATTCATATTTTGACTGTGTCCGATATGGAATTTTTTGGATATAAAAATGGTATAAAAGTGTTATTGAAACTTTGAAATTTGGTAAAACTGGGAATTTATAGCATAGCACATGTACAGGTTTTCACATTTAACATTTATTTTATGCAGTCATTAAACTTGTGTACAAATAAGTCATTCCATTATGTGACATATTTGTTGATTTCTTTTGAGTGTGTAGTATTTTATGACAGGATGTAACGGACCTGTTTGGGGCAGATTTACCTGTGGAGGGAGCAGAAGGGGGGAGATTTGCCTGGAGGGACGGTCCACTACTCAGGGCCCTAAAACTAGGTCACTGGATTGTACTGGATGAGGTAAGGCCTCATGGGATAGATTACACTCTGGACATCTTAAATTTACATGTCTATATTTGCATTGATTTTGATTTCTAGTTTAAAAAGATTCATGTATTCTTTAAATAAGCCTTTTTGTAGCAGTCCATTCATTTTCTTTTAAAGCTTATAAACTAATTCTTTTATGTGGAATTTTGAAAAGGTGAGGTATTGGCAGTGAGTTTGGCAAAGAGATGTTTAATTTTAAAACATTTTGTTGGCACTGTTTAGCTTTTTTTTTCATTCAGGTTAGATCTCTTGATCAAATATCCAATTGTAAAAAAATGTTCTTGTCATTTCATGCACACATTTCACAATCTTAAGTACCCTAGAATAAAATAAGTTATCTACTGATAAAGATTTGATATATAACAATATTTGTGATACAGTTGAACTTGGCCTCCCAGTCCGTGTTGGAGGGACTAAATGCCTGTCTGGACCACCGCGCCGAGGTCTTCATCCCGGAACTGTCCAAAACCTTTCACATCCAGCATCAGAAGACCAGGCTATTTGCCTGTCAGAACCCCCTAAACCAGGGAGGGGGCAGAAAGGGGCTACCTCGGTCTTTTCTAAACAGATTCACACAGGTATGCTAGAGCACGAGCAACATTGAAGGGTAACAATTGAAATCAGAGGTTTTGATATTTAGTCTCATTTTGAAACTAGTACGTTTGTATGTCTTCTCGTATCCATGTTATCCTATGCAAGAAAAAAGGTTTAATGTGCTTTTTTAATGAAGAATCTTTGTATAGCTCTAAAAGTTGTCTTTTAAATAGCTGGTACAGCAAAAGGACTGTCACAGTTCCAAAATTTTTTGGGTCCTGTTGGTTCTGTAAATTTTCGGTTCGGTTTCGGGTTTTTCGGTTCAGTTATTTACATATATTTTAAACCTTAATTTCATGAATTTAACTTGAAAAATCTTTATTTGTTACATTAAATTTACATTGAAAACAAGTCTTAACATGTGAACGTCTAGACATCGGTGTGTAGAACTACTTGGCCTACTATAAGCCACAACCTGACCATTCCTGCTCATTTAGATGATTATCTAATACTTCCGTGACAAGTGTTTTGTCATGGAATGAAGTAGATTTCAGTTGTGATGTTTATTTATCACTGTTATCGTCATCATTCCTTTGATTTCGACGCCATTTTTTGTATTGAACAGACTCTAATATATAAACCAGATCAGAACCGAAATCCAGAATAATGGAACCAAAACTGAACAGAACAACTTGGACTGCGGTTCTCGGTTATTTCTGGTATTCGTGACAGCCCTATACAGCAAGCTAGAATAAAAATTTCTTCTTTTTTTCAGGTTTACATAGAACCATTGACCTTCAAGGACTTACTATTTATAGCTCACAGGACATATCCAGATATACCCTGTAACATCCTATCTAATATGGTTACATTCAACATGAAGGTACTTACACTATAAAGCACATGATGTAGTTGCAGTGGTATTTGCTGATCAATCATTTAAATGTTAACATTTGTGAGATAAACCCATTGTTTAAACATAAAACATATATTTTTTTATTAACATTGGTTTTTGCCTGAGGAAACTAATTTCCTTCTCTTGGTCTCTTATTTTTCCTACAACTTTAAATGGTACAGTTTATGATTGTCACAAACTGTTTGTACATGTAGATAGAACAGGAGACTGTGGCTGAGGGTCGGTGGGGTCAGAGGGGAGGACCCTGGGAGTTCAACCTCCGCGATCTGTTCAGGTGGTGTGAACTTCTACTGAAGAACCAACGGGTAAGATTTGTTCAGGTGGTGTAAACTTCTTCTGTAGAACCAACAGGTAAGATTTGTACAGGTGTTGTGAACTTTTATTGAAGAAACAGGCAAGTTACCTTGACATTCCTATGATAGACATTGACCTTGAAATGCTAATGAACTAGGTTAGCACACTACCAGAGTAGCTATAAATAGTCAGAGAAACTTTACAATGTACATTGTATTTCTATCTGGATTGATTTAATGAATTTTCTTTCAGACTGTAGATGACCTTGACCCTGGAGAGTTTGTGGGACTGTTGTACAGGGTCAGAATGAGGACAATGGAGGACAAACAAAGGGTATCTATAAATAGACTTCAGCATTAAGCTAAAACAAATGGTCGTCTTCTTCTGGAAATGTGACATACATGCATAAGTATAAGTACTATTGAACTGAAATCAATGGAATATACAGGACTGTGATTCTTTAAAGGATGTGATTTCAAATTATTCACACAGGAAATAGTCAATAGTTTTTCGAAAGTATGAAAATAATATTATGTACAAAACTAGTTTAGATCATTTTAGATTTAAAATTTATGTATTTTCAATGCCAGTTCACTTTTGCCTTCATAACAAATTCTGATTCATTCTTGACATTTACTGTAGGTGTTGGATTTGTATGACAGAGTATTCTCCCCTGACAGACCTGCCTACACCTCTTCCAGACAGGTGGTTATCACGGACACCCATGTCCATGTAGGTCACTCCTGTCTGCCTCGGTCTGAAGTCCAGGCCCCCTCCCCCAGGGGTAAGGCCAGGAAGTCCCTGTACCTCCTCCATCACTGTCTGGAGCCCCTGGAGTCGATAATGAAGATTGTAGAGATGAACTGGATGAGTATAATTGTATGTGGTGGCAGAATGTGTAGTGATACATGTATATTTATTTAGAACATGATAGTAGAAACTGAAAAATAAAATGTTCATTGGAACATGTTTAAGAAACAATTGAACTATAAAAAAAAAATGTTTTTTAAACAAATTATGAACTTCAAGATGAAAATTTAAGTGTTTTTCAAACTCCTTTGTATTCAGTTGGTTTTAAATCAAAGAAATTTTAAATATTTTGGAATGAAAAAGTATCTATTAACAAGTGCTAATACACTTGAATGTGTATGTGACTGTATAGTATGATTAATTTCTTGACTTTTTATGAATGATAAATAAGAAGGAGCTAAAATTGAAAGTTAACAGGGAACATTTTTCTCAGGTTGGTGGTCCATCAAGCGGAAAGTCAACCTTGGTACAGATTTTGTCACAGTTGACTGGAAACAGACTCCATGTTTTAGCTACAAACAGCGCAATGGATACCACAGAACTACTGGGGGGATTTGAACAGGTAAGCTGAAGGCAGATGGGGACATCTTTCTATTTATACTATTTTTTTTGGGCGGGGGAGTTGAAAACTGTGTTCACTAAATAAATGTGTTACAGACTAATAAATGAAGTGTTTTGTCCCTTGCAGGCAGACAAGAAAATGCATGTAGAAGAGTATGCTACAGAGATGGAAGAGGTCATGACCTTATTGCTGAACTGTCTCCTTGGTAACCATGATATAAAATCCAGGGTCCAGAAGTGGGAGGAGAGGATAAAAGAGGCGGGTAGACTGACGGAAGTCTGGGGGCAGTACACAAAAGTGGGGGAAAAGTACAAAGGTGAGAAAATGTTATGCCAATGGGAGTGAAAGTTTGGAGGGTCTGGGAAATACATGTAGATCTGATGACAAAATGTTTCAGTAATTATATCAATGTTTATGTAGAGTAAGCTTTTTCTGGTACAGATATATTGAAAATGAAGTATATATTTGATTAACCTGTGATGTTGAATAAGAAATTGATAATTAATGAATACTGGGTTTCTTATACAATGTTGTTCATCTACATAATTATTCATCGAAGATTAGTTTTATCTGCTCTGCCTTTTATCATGAGAATCACACTGCCATATTGTGTGTAGGTAAACAACTGACAACAACAGAGGAGGCTGCCCAGCTTCAGGAGAGAGTGAACGCCCTGGAGGAGGTGTTCAAAGAGGTCAAGTCAGGGTCAGCACAGCTAGGGGAGGCCTTCCATAGGTTACAGCAGAAGAGATCCAAGGCTCTGATTGGTCTGGAGGAATGGAAGGCAGGACAGGGGGCGGGGACTTTTGAATGGATTGACAGCTTGTTGGTTCAGGCCTTACAGAATGGGGAGTGGCTAATGATTGATAATGTTAATTTTTGCAAGTAAGGAGCTCTGGTATTTAATATGCACTGAATGTACAAGAATGCCTGCATGGAATTTAATATAAGTGTACAATGTACATTTACAGTATATTATAACATAAATAGTAAAATACTAAGAAATGGACTTTTTTAAAATTAGTGCATCGGTGTTAGATCGGTTGAATGCCCTGTTGGAGCCCCATGGTGTGCTGTCTATCAATGAGAGAGGAGTGATTGATGGGAAGATCCCCAGTATTAGACCACACCTAAACTTCAGGTTAGTAAACCTCACAATGGTGAAGCTAGGGAGATCCCCAGTATTAGACCACACGCAAACTTCTTATCAGAAAACCATACAATAGTGAAGCAAGGGAGATAACTTCCTCATATCATTTTAATTTCACATAACTATACAACTTTGTCTCCAAAGTTCTTTCAGTTTTGCCTTGTCAGCAATACATTGAGAGGACCTTTTTGTGCTATCTTTATGTATTGATGAATAGAAGCACATTTTAGAAAGAGTGTTTACTAATTATTCATCTAGATCTCTCCATTTTTCATGTGTGTAAATACGTACTCTGGTGATCAATTTCCCAGTGTTTAGACTTGCATGTACTTATCTGGATATGATATTGTCTATTTTTAGACTGTTTTTAACAATGGACCCTAAGTTTGGTGAGATTTCCCGAGCAATGAGGAACAGAGGAGTGGAGATATATATCCCAGGGGAGGTAAGAAACTACTAACTCTTTTTTAATGGCATTTTCCTTGTATTGATTTCATAAAATTTCTTTAATTAAGAAATGAATTTAAGGTCAAGATCTAGTAAATGAGTTTAGACTATCTTTTTGGCGCTAGATCCATTATGACGTCATAATTGATTTAAACTTAATTTTTTCCGTACTTTACGGCTATTATAGAATTATGCAGAAAATGAAACATTTTCATGGAATTCAATTTGAAATCATGTCAAAATTAACTCCGATACCTATATTCAAATTAATATCATTTTAAAGAAGAGGTCAAGAAGATATGAAACACTGTTTTCTGAGAGACTGTAGGCAATATTGATACATTCTCTTTTTCTGAGAAGGAAAAAACTCCCATATTTATACCTGAATTCCTTCAATTTTCATTGAAAATAACAGTTTAAAGTATCTTTTTTCGTTGAGTTTACCGAAAAATTATGCCCCGATACACCTAATTTCGCCAAGCTATATTTCTAAAGGATCATTGAAAGAACTTGTTTCTCAAATTTGAGAAATCTGAAGGCACCTTTCATTTACTAGATCTTGACCTTAATAGCTACCCAATTTATACAGTATAAAGTGGGTTTGGGCAGTTTACGCTTCATGCATAAACCACGAAGCGGTTTATAAAAAAGTGTAAACTGTTCCAACCCACTTTATACCGTATAAATTTGGTAGCTATCAAATTCATTCCTTATAATTTAATTTTTATTCAATGACATTTAATGAAAGAAAAAAGACAATTGGCAATGCCCTTAAAAAATGACTTCAAATTGTACAAAATTGTAAAATTAATGTAACGTCAGGCGGATCGATACATTTTTGACGCAGGTCATTGTGATGTAGGCAACCGAATTTATTCCATATAAAGTAAATTTTTTATCCAATCAAAAGGCACGTTACAATCAGAATTAAATTATTATTTAATTCTAAGAATTTTTTTTACTGGAAAAATACATGTAATTAAGTGTAAAACTAGTCACTGATAATTTAGAAATGTTGGGGATAACCAGCATCTAGTTATTCTGTTCCTGAAATTTGTAAATATTTCCACAGTTTCTGACTTTCACAATATTACATGTAATTATTTGTTAGCAAGGTGTTTTATGTTTCTCAAGTTTAGTGTAATAGTTGCTTCTCTTTCAGGAAGAAGGAAATGTCTATTCAAAGCAGGATATGATAGTGATGCTTCATGGGATAGGTGTAGAATGTAAGAAGGTGTCTGATTGGTTGATTTCTCTGTATGTAAACATGAGGGAGGTTTTACCAAAGGGAGAGAGGCCACACCTTCTACAGCTATTACAGTGTGGAATGACCATTGTCCAGCAGACAGACAGAGGGATAGCAATAGGGGAGGCGGTCAAGTGGGCGGCAAAAGAGATGTTTGTTAAAAGCATCAATAACACAGAAACTAGAAAGGTGGGTGATGGAATAACAGTACTGTGAATTTTTATCAAAGTTTTACTCTGGCATAAATAACTTCTGCTGCTATATTAAGTTATCCATTTGATCTGAATAACATGATAAAGAGGATAGAGGTTTTGTCAATATATTGTTTGAAATAAGCTTTTTTTCATTTTGAATTAGGGTAGACCAAAGCAACATTAGTATGCATGTTGCCGTTATTATGGAGCTTATAATCTACTCCTTTATCCTGACCCATTGTGACTTGATATGTCCATATGGATCACAGCTCCCTTATGCTATGTAGCATTTGTCTTTAACTTATAACCTTCTCTTTGTGACAGCATGTTACATCAGTGTTGGAGGAACATTACCAGGACTGTGATTTGGAGATGTCTGATTCTGATCTACACAGAGTTATCCCCCTTAGTCCTGTATCTGACCATGTCAGGGACACATTCTCAGCCAACCTTCAACAACATAGTGCCCTGATACGGAATATACTACAGGACATGATAAATAGGTAAACAAATGTCAAAATTAAACATTATAAGGGTATATTCCTTATACAGACAAGCATTCTTAATATCTTAAACTTTGTTGTTAAACTGGCAATGTATTAAAGAGGTGCTTTGTTAAAATTTTAAAAAGTTAAACTCATCCAATATTTTATTACAAATCTTCATTTGAAGACTTCAGCTGCATTGCATAAACTTAAGAATTTCTCACTTTAATAAGTAAGCTGTGTTCTTTTTGCTGTTTAATATTTTTGGGTCTCTTTAAAGGTTTGTTAAATTTTCATGGATTTATATTGTAGACTGTCTTCTGAAAATGTTGAAAGAAAATCACATGACCTGTATACATGGCAGAGTCTCTTGTCTGCCTCTATGTTGTATGTGGACCTCTCTACACCAGACACACTCACACTACGTTCCCTGCTCCTTCAGCAGATGTTTGAGAGTTATAGGAAAGTACTGAGTAGGTCAAGGTCAAAATCTCCTCTGCTTGATGTCACAAAAGGTCACCTCGAATTGGTACAGGATGTCATGGGACAGGTGTTCAACAATGTAAAGAATCTAGCACTGGAGAAATACAGAAAATTTGATAACAGTAAGTTTCAAGTGTTGGCAATGTCTACATTTTCCAAATTTTCTCGGAAATACTTTTAAAAATGTTGTATAATGTCATACATAAAAAAGAATAACAGCAAACAAAGTTCAGAAAGTAAGATAATTTAATGGTTTTGTTGAATTAATTCCAAATACACTAATTTCCTCTGTAGCAGCTGATATAAGACAGCACTACATGGATCCTCATCATTGCCCCCAGGTTCTGAGGTCTGTCAGTGGGGGAGGCAGTTATGTGTGGGCTGTGAACCTCTACATTCTGGTGTCTCAAGCCAGTAGGATATTATCATTGGGGGCTCCACAGGTGGACAGATTGAAAAAATTCTTAGAGGGTAGGTTAATGTCTACCAAGCAACGAGAGAGTTGCTTGCTTCTCTAAATATGTGGTAAATGTTACACATCCATGTACATGCATTTGTGGTACACAAAAATAATTTTGATCATGGATTTGTTTTAGAAGGGAGCAAGGAGAGTTTTGATGTTGATTATCGGATCCTTGAGAATCTGATGATAGATGTTATACAGACGGATAAAATCCTACAACAATTCAGCCATCTAGGTCAGGACAGGGATCTACAATACGTAATTAAGGCATGTCAAAAATATTTATGTGTTATTGAGTTTTGCCTTCTATTATGATTCTGTGCAAAGAGGATAAGTCACTTATTCACTTCACAATTTTTAAAAGATTCAAGTTTTTAGTTTTATAAAAACTTATTATTTTATATGCATTGTTGAAATGTATATACAGCTTAAAATCCAAAAAAAAAAAAAAAAAAGAATGAAGTCGATGTATATTTGTTGCTAGGTGATGGACAAGATCTCTTGGGTTGCTAGGATGAGGGAGGCCTTGGTTACCTACACACATGATCATGACATTAACAAGGTCATTCTATTCTACTCCTGGGTCAAGGACAAACTACTGCCTGTAATGGGTGACAGGTAAATAACTGAGTCAAGTAAAATGATATATTTTTAAGTTTACAATTATTATAAAGATTTAAAATACATGACTTGCATGATTATACTTGGTTTAATTCAATGAAAAGTACAGTTGAACTTTGGTATCTCGAACACTGATATCTCTAATACCATGGATATGTCGAAGTGATTTGGAAGTCCCAACCACTTATTCTTTAAGTTTTTTACCCCTGATATCTCGAAGTTTTTTCCCATCGAGTTCAAGATAACGAGGTTTGACTGTATTTAGAATTAAAAAGAATTTTAATTCTTGTTAAATTCAGTTAAATCAAATTTTCTAAAAGACAAAAATGGATTTTTTTTTTCATGTCTTTTATTTTTGATAATTTATTGATTTTGGCATTTTGACTGAACTGTACATAAAATTCTGCCACACTGTGACAACCACAGAGATTTTGTATCCATTGAACAGTATTTCTCTCCCTTTCCGTTCAGGTTTCTGGTGAGTTTTCCACATCTGCACAAGGCTGGGGAGATTCTGCTGTCAGGATATGAGGAGACAGATTGTTACATCAGGTTTCAGAACTCCCATGGTCACCCACCTCCTTACAGAAACCAGAAAGAAGCTGAGGATAGTTTGACCTTGATTGACCTCTGTAAACTGTCTGAAATCCATAGAGAGGCTGCTGACCTCATTACCAAGTACAAAGTAAAGTTGCATCTAGACAGGAGGAGTGAACTCATTTCATTAATAATGAATCCACTGTCTGAAGTGAAAATGGGAATTGCACATGGTACGAATATTGCTTGCCTTTAAAATTAAACAAAATAATTGTTTTGTACATGTTGGATAGAAATACATGTAATCTTGTTATTCTCTTTTTGTTGTTAGCTAAGTCAAATGATTTCTGTATTGTATGTCCTAGCTCCTTTGACTTGAACCTAATGATTTCTTCGGGTGTTTGAGTAAATAAACTCTTCTTTTTTTTTTAAAAAAAGTCCAAAACAATTTTTTTAGATATTTGTTGACAGATGAATGTTATGAAAAACACAATGCATTATTACAATAATACCTTATGAGTAACATGTTTCACACCATTGTGTACTACATGTATGTGGAAAATTAGCAAAGAACACTTAAGAAACTGAAGAATATATACAACAGCTATTGCAATACTGAAATTGATAAACTTTCAGACAATAACACAGAGACCATTAGAAAAGTTAGACAACTCCTGCTCCAGTATAATCTGATACAAGAGGAAAAAGAGGAAATGGACCAATCAGAAGGCAGCAGTCTGTCACAGTGCAGCCAATCAACATCTGTTAATCATGTTGACCTTTGGCCTCTTCATGATCACATGTTTGTCCTTTCTGAACTCAAACTAGTCAATGAAATGTTTACATCATTAGAACCTAGAGTTTCAGCTGGGACAGGGGCATTAGTTAACTATGGATCCCAATTTACACCTGTGTCACCAATGTTTTTAACAAAACTGAAAGCAAAGTCTGAGGACAGAAGTCAGGTAATTTAATTTATTTTTTTAATTTAATTGAACCTTATGAATTAATCAAAATGTTAAATTTTCTTTAATTTGTTTAAAACAATGATAAACGAGGTCATTTGTTGGAAGTGGAGTCCCTATTCTCAGATATTAATGTCTCAAGAAGCTTTGCCATGAATTTTTTCTCTTTATAATAAATACTAGCTGTTACATGCATTTACTATTAAGCAATAAAAATATATTGTATACAAAATTTTATGACATTTATTTTTAGGAAGCTGCCAGTAACGCTTTGTGTGAGATACTTTGTGATTTGTACCAACAACTGTGGACCAACACTTCCACTACAGGACTTAACTGGTGGTTAACCTGGTCCACAACTCCTCAGAGCATGACATTAAGTATTGAGAGGACCAGAGAAAATTTGGTAAGATTTTGTATACAACCAGAATCATAGTAATTAAGGATTAAAATTCACATCCTTTCACAGACTAAACTCTTATAACTATTAACAACAATTGATCCCAATTTGTTAAGTGTGTAATATGTGTTTGTGTTTTCAGAAGAAAGCATAAAAAATAGCTTTTAGTTATATTTCTAGTGAAAGTAGTACAGTACAGTGCTTTGTTTTTCTGCAACACATGTTCATTTCAATATATCAACTTGTTTGCCTCTTTAACAATTTGTAGTTTCCCTCTAGTTTTCCATACAATATGTGCATTCATATACATGTGTCTCTCCATATCACTAATGTAGCAACTCCAGTTACCCCCCTTAACTATATTTTTCTTCAATTTTTCTATCAGTGCCATATTGGATATGCTGTTTTCCTGCAAATCATTTATTTCTTTTCGATAGAAAGGGGACAAGAGAAACAAGAAAAAGTTTGTTGTTAAAAGTGTCTACTGAAGTACACTTATTGACATGATAGAGACATTTGAGAGAGATGTTACCTCTTGGCATTTGAAGAGTATGTCAGTAGGTGGTAGAGATGATATAAGCAATTCTAGTGAAAAAAGTGGACTTTTGACACCTTCTGTAATCCTCCAAAATTGGTTTTGGAAAACCTAATGTAAAGCCCTGTTTACACAAAAATTTTAATTTGCAGTAAATTAATGTGAAGTAAAATAATGCATATTAATCTAATGCAAATTAAATTGCATTCACACGACAGCTAATGCGAAGTAAACTAATGTGAATAAAATTTTTTTTTTCTACAATAAGGCTGTTCAGTAAGGCTATTATGACGTCATTTGCAAACCACAAACCATGTCACATTGTGCAGAGCAGATATATATTTGACATAATGTTATAGTGTCTGTACACATTTTAGTGTTTAACATAATTTTCCTTTCTTTTCCACTCAAAAATAGCATAAGTACCTATATTTGACCACCGACATGTGGCTTGTGACTTAATTCTGCCCTTATGCATGCGTCAAAATTTAATTCGAATTAGCTTTGCTTAGCGTTCACTTGGAGCTAATGTGGAGTAATTTAATGTACAGTATATAAATTTGAATTAAACTAATTCACATTAAATTCTCCATGAGATGCAGTTCAAATTTAATTCGCAGTAACTTGCGTTTAAATTGAATTAAACTCTCAGTGGTGAACAGGGCATTAATCTCTCTCCTTTTCCTAAGGAGTTAAACAATGACTTTCGGCGAATTGACAATTCAGCAAGAGCCTTATTCAGGGCCATTTCTTATGGTACTAGGATTCAGGGCCATTTCTTATGGTACTAGGATTCAGGGCCATTTCTTACGGTACTAGGATTCAGGGCCATTTCTTACGGTACTAGGATTCAGGGCCATTTCTTATGGTACTTGGATTCAGGGCCATTTCTTATGATACTAGGATTCAGGGCCATTTCTTACGGTACTAGGATTCAGGGCCATTTCTTATGGTACTAGAATTCAGGGCCATTTCTTATGGTACTATGATAGCAGCAATTTTAGATGAGGCTGAATGTGAGGATGATCGTGTGGAAGGACGTAAAGCTCTCATCAACTGTTTCAGAAGTATGGCTGATTTGACAGCAAGACTAATGGCAAATTCAGTGTTGAGTAGAAGGGAAGATTTTTTTTTTTAAATGTAGATTTTAATGTAACAAAATCTGCCTTTAGTAAATTAAGCCAGAGTATTGTTAAATAAAACTTTCTGATGAAATTAAATCTCAGATTTATAGAAACAGACCATTTAAGGTGTAATATCCCTCTGATAAGAGAGATGACTTTTCAAGGAAATTATTCCAAGCAATCCAATGAAATGTCTTACCAAGTTTAACAATAATAAAGACCATTATATAATCCACTCATTAAAATCAGATTTAAGTTACAAATACTGATTTCTATTTTCTATTTGCCAATATTTATATTAATTACTTATAATAGTTTATCTAAAACATTTATACCCAGTTCCTTTAAACTGTTAAAATTGAGATATTTCTATCTCTTAACAAATAATTAAGTCTTCCGTTCACAACGGAAGACTTATAGTGATTGTATTGTTTCTTTTTATTATTATTATTATTATTATTATTATTATTCCTCCCAATTTTTGTGAGCGCGATTACTCAGAGATGGTTGGATAGATTTTCACAATTTTTCACATGTTAGTAGGCTGATATATGAAGTTTATATAAAATTCCGTTTTTTGAAAAATTCACTTCCGGTCCGAAGTTACGGCCGAATTTCCACTTTTTAAATGCACTTTTGTCCGGAATTTTTCTCGGAAACGGTTTGAGGTAAAGATGTGAAATTTACAGGAGTATTAGATCATGACATTCTCTTTGTTTCGAAGTTGTTTTCGTGTGTTTCCGGTACTTCCTGTCCGAACCGGAAGTGAACTTGTGTTTGGTCAATTTTCAACTTTTTTGTTTTTTAATATTTTTTCAAGATATTATTATGTATAACAGAGGTTATTCTACAAATATTAAATATATAATTTGTTTTGAAATCAGATTCCACATTTTGCAGATTTTCGGTACCCTCATTTTCCCTATTTACCTAGTGTGTAAACAATGGGCAAAGAAAGATAACTCTGACTTGTAAGTGAAAATAGAACTTTCGAGATAAAGGCGGAATAGTATCGATGACGTAAGAGAAATATACACTCTCCATATCAAAATATTTAGACGTTCCATATTCACTCTTCTAAATATAAGAGTACGTTGGTTACCACTTCCAATGCATGTATAGTTTGAAGTTGCCAGTGTAGTGTAAGTCTGTATTGACAGTTAATTTATTTACACATGAATATATCTAAAAAAAAAATTAATATATATGCTAGGTACCTAATTCAAGTAAATATATTATAAGCACTGAGTATACATTTATAGTGATGGACAGGAATGCAGTTTTATCTATCTCGTATAGTAAGTTCAGAATACGATAGTTATAAGCCTTCTATAATGCAGACGATTTATTATTCTCTATGATTTGAATGCGAAATTATCCCGATTTCCGAGTTTTATTTTCGATATTAAAAAAAATATTACATACACTCAAACAGGAATTGAGCGATAGAAAATTGTAATACAGTACTGTTTTAAAGCCTTTATAAATAAATTGATATCTGCCACTTAAAAGAAAGAAAATCAATCTGTTGATTAGATTTTGTTATTACATGTAAATTTGATAAAAAGTTAAATTATTTATGACACATGATCTATATTCTATATACCCAAGGAATTATAAAAGATGTGAAAAGACGATTCTTGGGCATGGATTCTTGTGAAATACTCAAAGAGTTAAAAAAAATATGTGAAAACGCGATTCTGTGTGAAATAATGGTACGCTATATGTTTCTTTTGAAAAAAAAAAAACATGAAAAAAAATTGCACAGGTCTGTTGATATGTGGGATAAGTATACCTGAATGAACACAATTTTATGCAATGATATATAATTATGTACATGCAACTGACGTCCGTACTTTTCCTTATAATTCATAAAACATAAAACTATCTAATTCCTTTGAAGACTCCCCCCCCCCACCCCCACCCCACCCCCGTCTTGATTAATATTTGGAGACGTTCGTGCAGCTAGGCATTTGAATTATATATTCGTTTTAGATTTAAATCTGGAACATGTGAATATAATTACCATTTACATGTATACAGAATTTCATATTTTATAATTATGAAATGTTCAATTTACATGTCTGAGAGAGAGAGAGAGAGAGAGAGAGGAGAGATTCCCTCTTAATCCCGATCCAAACCAAAAATTAGTTCTTTATCGGTCACACCCATTCTTTATTAGATGTTTTCTGATTTCATAGTCAGTCATGGTCACATCCTGTATATTTTTCAGCTTAAAAAGTATCACACGAAGTGCACGTGTGTTGACCTGTCAATCAAAATCACTTGACGCTGTATGCACTGCAATTAAGTAGCCTGAGTTCGAAATGATCTTGAAGTATGATCTTTAAGTAAATCTGCTGCAACAAACTTGTGAAAAAAATAGAATAAAATAAAAAATAAAATATCTCGGTATTATGAACTTCGACTGTGGGACGTGGAGACCGGTCCTTTGGATGAGATCGTATAAATCGAGGTCCCTTGTCGCAGAAGATGCTGGCATAAAAAAGTTTCCCCACTGCTCAATTGCGATAAGTGCCAAAGTATAGGACAAAAATTTACAGTCTCCACCGGCGAGTGGTGGCGTCTCCATGTGAGTGAAAAATTCTGGAGAGGGACGTTAAACAACATACGTATAATCAATCAATCAATCAATCAATCGATTGCTGAAGAATTACTGTAATTGAATAATCTGTCTTATAGGTATGTTGTCAAATCTTGATATTATAACTTTACAAAACTCAGTGACTTTACGTTTAATGTGATACTAACTTAATTCATTATATTTTTTTATAACACCATCACAATTATGCCAAAACATACACACAGTGAAGTTTATGATAGTACGGTGTTCGTTCGTCTGTTTGTTTGTCTTAGAAATGATTGCAAACATTTTTTTTTTTAAATTGCTAATGATATACGTATATCTCTTATAGGTGCAAAATGTATTATACAAGATTGATAATGAAAATCAAAGTACCTTAAGTACTGAAAGGACTTTTTTCCATTTTTTTTTTCTTTCACAGTAAATATGATATGTATGTTTTTTACACAGAAAAAAAGCAAATTCTTACAGATTTAGAAGAACGGAAGACTTTTTTGTTGCCATGGCAACAAGAGTCTAGTTCTTTTAATTATTCAAGAAATTTAAGATGCAGAATTTTTTGTAATCAATCAAGTAATATTATTACTAAAAAATATTTTTGAATAATGATAACTCCTTAAGATTGAAAAATAACCCTTGTAGATGGATGCATTTTATTCTACAACAGTGTGATATTCTCATGGCCATAGGAACGGGGGGGGGGGGGGGGGGGGGGGACATGGCCCCCCTTCCCCCCAATAATTTTTCCAATATATAGATTACTGTAGAAAACATAACTACTATATGCTTGTACCCCCTCAATGAAAATGTCTGAAGCTCTTTTTTTTTACTTGTCAAGGAATTTTTGTTAGTAGATAGTGCCCCCTCAACTGAAAATGTATGGCTGTGCCCCCCAAACTGAAATTGCCTCCTACGGGCCTGATTCTGATTTAAAAAGCAACACTTCATTATGTTTTCTAAAGTGAATTAGATAGGTATGATAGTAAATATTATTTTCTTATATACCTCATATTTTTAATTTTATGGTGAGATAAAAAATTATTGGTCTTTCTATTCACCATATCAAATTTCTTCATATCATGATTAGACATAATGTTCATTTCTGAAAAAGTACATGTAAGCAACGCTTCATACTTTAAACTTTTCCATTTGAATCTAATGCTTTTGTTGTTGATGAAAATCAATGTTGGGAATTTAAAATTGGTGAAATTTGGAGCAGAGGGATATTTCACCTCAAGTTCAATGTAAAACTGCATAATGGGGTATACATCATTGTAAAAAATAAAGAAAAAACTAAATTAATACATGTCATTGAGTATGTAAATTTTATTAAATGTGTCTTTTATTTAAAAATAATCATATGTGTTTGGTTATTTTTCAAAAATGATCATATGTACATAATTTTATGTAACAATGCATGTTCAAAGTTTATCACAACTTTTTAGGATATAGTATTGAACATAGCTGTGATATTCGCTGAAGTTCAATATACATGTATCTAGATTAGGCTGTGTACACTGTTTGTTAGGATGATAGAAATAGTATACAATGAACACAATGAAGCTAATACAAAAGATACAACATGCAGATAATGAAATACATACTATTCTTGTTGTGTGAATATTAATTATGAAGCATTGACCAACTTAATTGAAACTAAATAAGCATCTCTTCAACTTGTTTAATATGCTTGAAACAAAAATGATTGGTATATATACAATAAAAAATATTGTATAGCAACAACACCAGGGAAAACATAATTTCAAAACCAAGTATTCATTTGTCAAACTGTTTTGTTTGTAGTTACCGAGCTCACGCCAACAGGGTTGTGACACAAAATGATCCAGCATAAGCAATGATGTACATAAAATATTATTTTTCTGTCTCCTGCAAATACTTGTACACAGAGACAGTAGAACTGTCCCATCCCCCGACCCAGAGGTTGTGTTGATTATCAATACAGAGAGCACATGCAGGAATATTTAGGAAATGGTTCTGGTGTGAGCAGGAAAGACAGGAACTGGCCATTAACATCCAGCAGATGGACATTGGAGAAATTGCCATCATTCATAAAATAACCATTGCACACCAAAATGTGTCCCAGAACATCTGTACAGATTCCATAGGGAATAAATCCATACTGAGAATGGTGACCAGAGTAAGAGAAGCGATACTCTCCTGATGCAGTTACCACCACAACCTTGCGGGCATGAAAATCTGATACACAAATGTCACCATTAATGTTCTGTGTGATATAGTTAACACTTTTGTAGAGAGTTTGTCCTTTATCATCCCTCTGAATGTCTTGTAACTTCCTTCCTTTTCTGTTGTATCTGGTTATTTTCTGATCTGATTTTATCCTCATCCCGACCAATACGTGTCCACTGATAGGAGAGGAGTAGATGGCTCCAGGTTCCCAGTTCCCTGTCTCAATTAGTTTGCTGATGGACATGACACTAGTTACTCTGTAGACTGTTTTTTCATTGTAATCTGTATAAAGAAGTTCCCCCTCTGTAGTGACTGTGTGGCTACCTATAATATACGACATACTGGTGGATATTTTCTGTACAATGTTTCCTTTCATATCATACTGAATGAGATTATTCAAGACTTCACTAGCCCAAAATTTATTGGGAGGCAAGGGAGACAAAGGAGAAAGTCCTTGTCCCAGGATAGTTACTTCACTTACTTTTATGACTGAGGAAAGCTTAAACATTTCAAGTTCAATTTCACCAAGTTGTTTGGCTATTTCTTCTTTATTAAGTGTACCTAGTGTGAAAATTGGCAGTTTGGGTTCAGCTTTGATAGGCATCTTCAGGAAAGCAAATGAAATATCTTTATGGAAATTGATTAATTCAGTGGATTTTATTGATGACATTTTACTCTCATAGTCTACAACCATTTTTTCCAGATACTTTATGTAGTCCTCTGTTTTCTTCTGCTGTTCCGCCATTTCATTAAGGACAGAATTCTCTATGTCATCCAGTTTTTTATTATTATCAGTTAGTATACTGTCAACAGCCTTCTTAAGTCCATCTGCTCTCTCCTTCATGGAAGTTCTTACAATGGCAATTTCTTTCTTGACATTTTCTCTTTTTTCTTCAAGTGTCTCAACATTATCTCTAGCCTTAGGAATGTCTGTTTTCCAGATATCAGTTATTTCCTTCTGACATTGCTGTAGAAGGTCATTGTAGATGGTTTCAAGATCACTGGTATCATGATTTCTGTGATTTTGGACAAAGCATGTAGAACAAAGAAGATCCTGGCAATCATTATAGTAAATATCTATATTTTTGGTGGGGTGGATCCTACATTTCTCTGATGGAAGTTTTCTTTTTCTCTCGTGATAGAGGACAATCTCATGTCCAATGTTCTGCTCTAGATGTGGCTGTTTGCATTGGTCACAGATTCGTTGATGACAGGTATTGCAGTAAAACTCAGAGAATTTCCTACAGGATTCCGTGTCACACTCGATCATGTGCTGGGCTGTATCTGGTACTTGTTCCATTATTGTTGTTCAAAACTCTAAAAAAAACATTTATTACCATAATAAAGGTAAGGCACTTATAAATGGGTATAGCTTACAACACACTACACTCAATATTCAGAAGAGGAGCCTTACCTTTTCTGTGATCTGGTAAATGAATCTCTTTCACAATACCTTACCAGTCATGATTGGTGTCAGCCATTTGTAATTTATTACGTTTATCCAGGTAGAATGCTATTTACTTCCTGCTTCAAGCAAAAACATTTAAATCTCCATGCAGTCTTTGCATACGTGCCAATATTTAATAGATTAAATGGGCCACAGTCGCAGTAACTGTAATTTATTAATAAATAAAGACGAGTAGTGGGAAAAGAGGATTATAATGTTGAACAAGATTGGATGGTTCTCAAAATTAAAGAGAGAATGGTACACACTATAAATTTAAAAAAGAGCAGCATGAAAAAGGGGATCATAAGGTTCAACAATATCCTTTGGTTCTGTAGAAATATCGATCATTTAATAGTACATTAAAAGATATGGCTTCATGAAAAGAAGTTATTTATTTATTTATTGCCCTTGTGCTCATGTATTGTTGTTAAACTCAGGAATTCATGCATTTAAGTACAGTGTAAGAATTCACTGGAAAAAAATGTCATTGAAGATGCATCAAATTATTAACAGATTGAACAATGAATAAGGTTGAATTACTGCAATGATGCATGTTTCTGAAATCTATCTCAATTTTAAGAGGGATCGAGTAACAAATTTCTGTCTGTCTAGCCATCCATCTGTCTGTCACATAACAGAAATTTTGTCACAGATATCACTTTGCCAAAAAAAAAATATGAAATTTTAATTAACTTTGGACATAATGCAAACAATAAACAACTGTGCTGCAAGACCTTTGATCAAGTATGTGGTATTACTGTACAATTCTCAAAAAAGAAGGACTCGGTACATATAAGTATAATTGTGTGCTCTTGACTCACTGATACGACATAATCTTTAGCTTGAAATCCAGCTAGAGGTTGAAATGTTTTAAAAAATGTTGTTTTTCATAAAAACTTTATCACTTATATTACAGGGTCCCGAAAGTCTTCACAAGGCAGTACTGAGTCAAACTGCTTACCACCTGATGTGTGGAGGTTGTGAGGGAACACAGAAGTTAACACAGGACAGACAGCTTCCTGTCAATGTACCCCTGAGAGACTTAAATAGAAGGCTACACAAATTACAGATTCTGTCACAGCACATCTGGTCTCAAGGTTCAGTGCTCTGTAATGGGAATCTCAAGACTAGGTCAGTTTTCAACAGTTTCTAATTTAATTTTATATTGTGTGTATTCACAAGTTCCAGCATCTAAAGAATTTAATTATTTTAGTGATTAAATATTGAAAACTACATGAATACATTTATTGTTTTACTAGAAAACTGGTGAGAGAGCACATCATGCAAGTGTTTGTATTAGTACTTCACTCCACTGTGACAATGTTTAGAACAAAGGAATCCGAGGACAAATACAAACAAAGTGTGTCAGAGTTCATCACATGCCTCCAAAACAAAGACCCCTCTCATAGGGACAGTGAACATATAATCCAAACCATAACAGATCTCCTTCATGGAGTTATGGGGACTGATCTATTTATAGCCAGGGAGTGTTTGAGTGGAGTACTTGCAATTTCTGATGATGAGGCTGATATGAATACAATAGGGAGACTGTGGGTGTATGTAGGTCTACTGGGCATGCTCCTCTACAGACCAAGGTCTCCTGTTGATCCTGTGGTCAAAACACGGATAAAACTACAGCTAAAACAAAGGGAGGTGAGACGAATTAAGGGAATGTTTACATTAAAAAATAAAGAAATTTTTTTAAAAAATGTCTGGAATTTGCTTTCTGATATCAGTTATTAATTGTATGTTGCAAAATTTGATAAAGATAATTTTAAAGTAATTTAAAATAAAATTATACTTGAAATATATTTTTTTGTAAGTTGGAGGAGATTAATACAGACATTGAGGTCAAGGTCATCCATCACAGGCAAATGACAGGTCTACATCTGCTGGACACGCCCTCCCACCTACAGCATCCTTTGATCCTCCACTTGATTGACAGGAGGGAGAAGTTACAGAGACAGATAGAGACCTTACAGTCCCAACAGGCCTACAGACCAAGCACCTGTCAGGTTAGTGGCTGTGTATTTTCAGGATTAATAATAATGATGATTATAAATTAATTACTTGATGCTGTTATCATTTTTAACAATTTTGGCAGTGCCTGTGAAACAGTAGTTAAGGATTGAATTTATTATCACTTTGAAATTCATTCCTCTGTTTCAGTATAAACAACTTCTGAATATGATAAGGGACTTTGTCAATAGCAAAGGATCTGTCACTCACACAATTCAGCTGATGGAAAAATTATTAAGGGTTTGCAAATCTGGAGAATTAATCAATGAGATTGCAGAAGAGAGGACCTGGCAGAAAACTCACCAGCGATTGGTCAGCTCCCTAGAGGAGGAGTTCCCTTTGTACAGAGACATCACCACACCTTTCATAGTTGCTCTCCAACAGGTGAGTGAATATAAAGTTATACCTGATGCCAGCAACGGGTGAGTTAAGTGAGTCCATCATCATTGTAAACCACAGGTTTTTAATTTCCTACTGTTTCCACAAACCTAGAACTGCCTTCTGCAAGGCTTGCTCTTTCTTCCAAATGAAAATCTCGATATTTATGAATGGTCACCAGATTTAATGTAGAAGTCATACATATTGTGATGATGTAGTGACCCCTATGAATGCAATTGTAGCGATAAGGTATACATGAGACCTTACTTGTTTGTTTTAGGTGAGATGTGGTATAAGGCTGATTGCTGGCTGTGCGAAAGAAGCATACAATGCTCAACAACTGACAGAAAGACTGAAGGTGACCAGTCAGGTAGGAAAGCACTTCTAATGATGGAATAGGTTTCGATTACAAGATACATTCTTTGGTAATTCAGAAATCTACCAGTATTTAGTTGTAGCATGCAGATATTTTGAATTTTCTCCGAAATATTATGGAAGTGTTTGATTTTTCTCTCAAGGTCCATGAGACAATAGGTCACATCAAGGAAGCAGCTCAGCTTTTAGGAAAATTCCCATTTATTTCATCAGATGTGATCAGCAGCCTAAAACTAGCTCAGAAAATCTTGTTAGTGGAGAAACTGGTATCAGGTGGTGGGGGTCAAGTGGAGGAAAACAGGACAGACCACACTTCAAGGTACAAACTGACAAGTATACATTTTTACCCTGTCTCATAGGAAAATCTTGAAATTCCATTGGTTCAGAAAAGTACTATGCCTCTATGATATTGTTTATATCCCTCCCTCCTTCCACATGTCCTACTGAAAAGTGATGAATTCCTAATACCATTTTCACTTGACTTGATCTCTTAAGGGACCTAATAACTTGCAAGACTATAAACTTTCACAGGCATGATAAATTAACTTTGTACTCATTAAAGGAGTTAATATGCTTTGTCCAATATGTATTTTTTCAAGGACCCTTCTAAGTGTCTTTAATACATAACTAGTTGTGATATTAAGGGTATAAACCTGGTAGCCTATGTATGATGTATATGGCCTTCATTTGTATGCATATTTGACTGTGACAAATTCTTCTGCATTTTATGTATTGTTTACTTTTATTTTCAGACTGTACCTTGGTGCATTATTTTTACTGCGGAACTCAGCCTTGATGAGAAAAGAATTGAACAGAGAGATCCTGTTGTCTCTGCACCAAATCTTCAATCGTTTTATGTTGTCATGGAAACAACAGGAGGAGATACGACGTCAGAAAGAGGCTGAGGAGGGTCTGTATAAATACAAGACAAAACTCCATGGTGATGACAGAGACAACGAGGTGATCGAGGAGGAGGAATTCAGACAGAATTTTCCTTCCTTTCAACAGGTTAGTCAAGGTGTCATTGCACAAGATTATATTAAAAGTCCTGGAATGATAGTAAGATGTGTCTACAAAAAGTGAAAGAAAATCGGATTAATGATATTGTTATTCTGCATTTGTATTAAATCCTACTGACCATTGATATATTTATTACATGTATATAAATGATTTAGCTCTAAAGCAGTTGGTAATTGCATGATCCAATATTTTTGCCAAAATCAACAACAGAATGGAGCAAAAGTTGTTTCATGTACATACATGTAATCTGCTTGATTTTTGATAGGATTTCCAAGACTTGATAACACCTTCTTCACTGGAAGACACTGGATTTTCTGAGCCTTTGGAACCTGAAATAGAAGATACACCCCATGGAGTTACAGAGAGAGAAGTGACTGCTGTAAGCCACACCCACCAGCAACTGTTCTCAAGTCTGTCATCCTCTGATTGGTTACAGCAAAGTCATGTGACAGAGGTCACAACCCAGGACATCATAGAGCCAACATTGCTGTGCTATAGCATTGCTGCACCTTTGTATAGAGGGCAATGGAACTGTAAGTTTATTGTACAAATAATCAGTAGAGACATTTGATGACCAACTTTGAGGCAGATTTCATGTCAATAAGTGAATTTAAAAAGTATATAATATTTTTTTTTAATTTCAATTTTTCTCTCCTTGACAGTGTCAGAAGTGGAAACACAGACATTAGGGAGCCACCTGCTGGCTAGTCAGTCACTACAAGAGGAGATAACTCCTGTATATGATAACCAGGCTGAGAAAGCATCACCCCAGGGTTATGATGTTTACCATGACCCTAACTTGTCAGAGGTCATTAACTGTGTCCCTATACTTCAAAGACTGATGGTCAGAGTGAGAGAACTTCAAGAGGAGTGGCCTGACCACCCAACATTAATACAGGTAAGGTTAAACATCATCAATATGTTAATGTATCAAGTATAAACTCCTGAGGAAAATGCACAATGCATGTATATGAAATACAGGATCTTAATATAATTTTTTGCTTAGACATGTACCGTAATACTCTTTTCGTACTGTTCCTCTCTTGTACAGGTCACACAGTCTCTCTGTTATACAGGTGACATAGATTGTCCTGTTATACTCTTTTGATACTGTCCCTCTGTTATACAGGTGACACAGATTGTCCCGTTATACTGTTTTGACACTGTCCCTCTGTTATATAGGTGACACAGATTGTACTGTTATACACTTTTGGTACTGCCCTTCTGTTATATAGGTGACACAGATTGTCCTGTTATCCTCTTTTGATACTGTCCCTCCATTATACAGGTGACAAGATTGTCCGTTATACACTTTTGACACTGTCCCTCTGTTATACAGATGACACAGATTGTCCGTTATACTCTTTTGATACTGTCCCTCTGTTATACGGGTGACACAGATTGTCCGTTATACACTTTTGACACTGTCCCTCTGTTATACAGGTGACACAGTTTGTACTGTTATACACTTTTGATACTGTCCCTCTGTTATACAGATGACACAGATTGTCTTGTTATACTCTTTTGATACTGTCCCTCCATTATACAGGTGACACAGATTGCTGTTATACTCTTTTGACATTGTCCCTCTGTTATACAGGTAACACAGATTGTCCCGTTATACTCTTTTGATACTGTCCCTCTGTTATATAGGTGACACAGATTGTCCTGTTCTACTCTTTTGATACTGTCCCTCTGTTATACAGGTGACACAGATTTTCCTGTTCTACTCTTTTGATACTGTCCCTCTGTTATACAGGTGACACAGATTGTCCTGTTATACTCTTTTGATACTGTCCCTCTTTTATACAGGTGACACAGACTGTCCTGTTATACTCTTTTGATACTGTCCCTCTGTTATACAGGTGACACAGATTGTCTTAATATACTGTTTTGATATTGTCCCCTTTGTTATACAGGTGATGCAGATTGTCTTGTTATACACTTTTGATACTGTCCCTCTGTTATACAGGTGACACAGATTGTCCTGTTATACTCTTTTGATACTGTCCCTCTGTTATACAGGTGATACAGATTATAGACAGAATCCTGTCATTCCCTGTAACATTACCTGTCGTCAAGTTCCTCACAGGTCTAGAACTTCTGCTGGAGAAAACTCAGGTAAGTCAACCTTCTTTGACTGGGTTAATAAAATCAACAAATGTTGCAAAGCCTTAAAGAAGTAAATTAATCATGGATATGACAGATTTGGAATGGAAATTATCTGAGGTGTTAAATTATGAGTGATTTGGGGGTATATTTTATAGGAATGGGAAAGCAATGCAGCTAAGCATGTTTCTATGGCAACACAGTTAGCAGAAGTATCATCTCAGATTTTGGCCTGGAGAAAACTAGAGCTCAGGTAGGCCGTCATCTGGTTCTTAATATCTAGAGCTAAAGTTTGTACTCATACTTTCATCCTTGCAATATCAAGGTTTTGTGATTTCGGAACTCCACACTAACATTGTGTGGAGTTCCGAAATCACAAGACCTTGACATTGTGAGGATGCCATACTTTGAGTCTGTATCAACCTCTTAAACTGCTAGACTTAAAAATATTTTCCCCAAAACCACAAAATTTGTCCCCACACAAATATAAGATTTTACAGTATATTCATTTTGCAGTTGTTGGAAGCAGTGCCTGGACAATGTATTTGTGAAGCAGTCCAAGAAAGCCAGCAAATGGTGGTTTCATATTTATCAGCTAATACAGGCAACTTGTCTACAGGTAAGAAAACTTTCCATATATGGCAGTTTATTTAAGGATATCTGTTCCTCAGCTAGGAAAGTGAATGAATTTTTTATATTATTAAAAAAATTCTCAAAATGAAGCTTGAAAATTGAAATCTTTTCATGCAAAAATTTTCAATTCATACATATCAATATTGATTCAAGGTTCTTTAAAGTCTTAGAAATGCTCTTCTAAAAAGGTCACATTCATATCCGTGACCAATTCCTGATTTTCAGAACCTGAGGATTTGACTACCTTAAACCATAAGTCTAGATTAGAATACAGAAAGTCAATACCTCTTGGCTACTAAAAAGAACCAAACAGGTATTAATATCATTACATTAATCCTTATTCTTTAGGAGGAGGGTGTAGAAAATTTAGAAACAGAAGAGAGAGACATGTCAGAGGTTATGGGGACCTTGAAAGAGTTCATGGAGAGGTCCAACCTAGGGGAATTTGAGGCCCGACTAGGGATGCTGAGGTCTTTTCACTGTCAAACCATGTATCTCTGTACTGAGGCCACAGAAGGGAGAACTCAGTCACAGGGTAGGATTTATTTTGTCTTGATTATTGTTAATTAAGAACCCTCTCTACACTGCACACTAAAGAGTTCTGATTCTATGGTATTTTTCTGCAGTTAGAGTGATCTGCCCTTAGATTTAAATTCTAAAAAATAGAAATTTACAGTATATTACTCAATTTGTAATCAATTCAAGTATTATTAACATTTTAAAAGGCCAAGATAAATTAATTGAACATGTTATTTACATGTATTTTCTCTAAGGAGGTAAACAACAGTGATTTCTATTCACTGATACTGTGTTGTGTTTGAACATTTTTCCTGGGGGTAAATGTCAGGTATCATATAGTGAAAATTAAATAGAAAAGCTCAATATTAACACCTTTATTCAATATATTTTTCTCAATGTCCCAAAAATATTTTGCACTGGTGTAGAGAGGGTCCTTAAGTGTTTTATCTGATCCAGAGATGGTGAAAATAAGGAAAATTGACTCACCGCAGCTGACAAGACCCACATGTATGTCTTTTCTCTGTACATTGAGTACACAAAATACAGTGTTTTATCACCTTATTAATTCAGTTGTTATTTATCACTATTTTCTGTTTTGTAGATGACATGATGAGCTTACTTTGGAACCTCCATCAGTTTTACAGCCAGTTCTTACCATTGGTCAAAGAAAAAATACAAAAACTGAGACAACCAATAGAAAAAGAGCTCAAGGTTTTGCGATTCAATTATAATTTTATCAATCTGTAATAAATATGTGGCATACACATGGCATTTCAATTCATAACGCTTTCATTTAAATTTAGGGGTTTGTAAAAATTGCCCGCTGGACAGACATGAACTTCTGGGCCCTAAAACAGACAACAGAGAAAACACATCGGACATTGCACAAACAGATGAAGGCTTTCCAGGTATGTTTTAAATTTAGTAAAAGAGGAGAAAATATTGTTTGGACTATGATTTTTTGGATGTCAATTACAAAAGATATACATGCTAATTCTTTGTTCCTTACTTTTATTGTAGGTTGTTTTAGAACAACCAGTACAGGGCATATTGGCAGACCCAGACAGCAGTATAGATTCTACTGGTCAAAGGGAGAGAACTCTAACATGGAGAGATACATACATCTCAGCTGTGCAGTGTCTGATATCACACAAAGTCAGTGTACAGGTGAGGCAGACAAAACATAATGTTATTAATTATTTCGTTTTTTGCCCAAAATGAAAAAAAAAAAGATTCAGAGGAGTATCATACCAAGCATCGTCTCATACCACGGTCCGGAGTCGGCATATAGCTCTCTCCTACACGGCCAGAATGGGAAAGGATCGTACATTTTGGCCGTGGTTTGCGACGAAGAATGGGAGAGGATCGTACATTTTGGCTGTGGTTTGTGACGATGCATACCAAGGCATTACATTTGGTTAACACAACTTTAGATGGTCTAGTATTTTCCAGAAAAATAATTATGTGGAATCTGCCTGCATATATTTCTTACCTATGTTTGTTTCAGCCACCACTTTCAGAGTTACCTGCTCTTGGTCGTGGAGGTCTACACAGCCGGCTTGCTCAGTTATCGGTCAGAATGTGTAAACATTGGAAATCATTGACAAAGAGGCTCAAGTATGACCAACTTATTGTCAGGCTTGATGAGTTTACAGGTAAATAAACACTCACTCAGTTAGAACCACTAAGACTCAGAGAAGTTCAGACTGATATGACTGTATACAACACTCGAGTTTGCTGACATGCAATCTCTAATCATGCTCAGAAAGCAAATCTGTCGCTTTTGCTCTAAGAAGTTCAAATTGAGTTCACGGGTAGTCCAAACTTCTTTTCAAAAGATTCATTATTTTATATTTATATTTCAGCTGAAAAGTTATTAATAGACAGAGTTTAGAAATTATGAGAATGGATAGACACTTCCATAATTTGCATACATGTTGAAACATCTAACATGGGATTAATATCCAAGTCCGTTTACTTTTAGGAGAAGTCATTGAATCCATTCATGAACTTCAACAATTGGAGGTGTCACAGGTAAGTTTTCTTGGAATGATCTCTTCCAGACCTAACATTTGTTAAAGTATGTACTTCCGTAATATCACAATGAATGATTACAGACAGCTGACAAAGAAAAACAGAAGTCTGAAGCTAAACACATTGGACAGAAGAAAAGGAAGGCTCTGAGTGATCTGTTTAAAGAAATAGCACAGCTAGGTAAAGAAATAGCACAGCTAGGTAAAGAAATAGCACAGCCAGTTAATGACATAACACAGCTAGGTAATGAAATAGCACAGCTAGTTAATGACATAGCACAGCTAGGTAAAGAAATAGCACAGCTAGGTAAAGAAATAGCACAGCTAGGTAAAGAAATAGCACAGCTAGGTAAAGAAATAGCACAACTAGGTAATGAAATAGCACAGCTAGGTAAAGAAATAGCACAACTAGGTAATGAAATAGCACAGCCAGTTAATGACATAACACAGCTAGGTAATGAAATAGCACAGCAAGGTAAAGAAATAGCACAGCGAGGTAATGAAAAAGCACAGCTAGGTAATGAAATAGCACAGCTAGGTAATGAAATAGCACAACTAGGTAAAGAAATAGCACAGCTAGATAATGAAATTGCACAACTAGGTAAAGAAAGAGATTCTGAAATACGGTATTTATAAGAAGAGACATATGTACATGTATGTATACACAAACAAAGTGTTTAAAGCAGACTTCTTATTAAATTGTATTTTCAATCTCATTTGATTTCTTTACATATTAGTAATCAGTACATAATGACATCTACTGTACACACATATATATATATTTAGTATATACTGTACCTGTAACATTACATACAATGATAATAACTTATAATCAATTAAAATAGCACTTTTTAATGTTACTAAACTATATTACTTTATCATTTTTATACAGGTCTGTCATACAGGAGGGGACTTCTCTGTGATGCTGAGAGTAATCTCCCTTTACTTGTCCCACCACTAGATGTCTCTGTCTGCTCAGATAAATTCACCACAAGGTAGAGTGTTCATAACTTTGAAAAGAAATTGTACATAAAATATAAAAGATTACTTATCACTCAATTGATTTTAAAAAGTCATTATCTACCTGTACATGTATGCAGTGTGTAAACTTGCGTTTATTTCTCCATTAGTAAGAACAGTGCTACAGAAATAGGTCAGAGTTGCCATGACTACTACTATAAATGTGTTGCCAGAAGAGCCAAGTTTGCCACAGCTCTACAAACTCCCTCCAAGGTGAGATATATAATGCATTCCAGATCACATCACCAAAGAATGATACTGGTAGCTATAAAGTTGCATTATTATTATTGGCTCTGTGTGATTTAACTCCATCCAAGGTGAGGAATATAAATAAATGCATTTCAAAGGATGATACTGGTAGTTAAATCGGCTCTGTGTGAATTGTTTTTTTAATTTTTAGGAACTAGGTGTTGGGAATATAGAAAGGTGTAAAGGATTCACTGAACACTTAATGAAGTTAGTGGTGGATCAGTATTCTGGGGTGGTGGAGATTCACAAGGCTTACTTATCTTTAAGGTAGGTCAAAGGTCACAATATGGCAATTCCTTAGTGGTATAATTGCAGATTTGCTAGTATTTTATTCATTACAACATTATAAAGATGTTTTAAGGAAAATATTTAGATAATTTAATTAATAAGTAATACATTTGCATTTAGCATACAATTTCATTTTGTACAATTTAAGCTCCTTGTCTGAAGTGTTAAAGGATCTGTGTTCAATTAATGGAACACCCCCTCCACAGAAGGCAACAAGGGAGTATGTGGTACGTATTGGAACAGCCAAATGTAGAAAAAATCATTCTAATTGTTTTATACAATATTTTCATTGAAGCACCTGTTCAGTTCTTTTTCAAATATAAATACATGTATGTGTTAAAGGAACTAAATGAAAGATCTTTGGGTGTTGACATACATGTCTGTGTAATTTCAATTCATAAGATCTAAGGTGTGCATAAAAACCTGCTATTATATTAAAATCATTTTTTCCTTAATTTCACAATTCTGTAACATTTTCAGGAATCCCTTATATCTTTCTTAGTCAGCATGAAGGAGGGTCTTATTCAGGTCAAGGTCATACTCCAGTGTTGTCCACGACAACAAGAGGAGATAACTCACTATCTGTCTCCATTTCCCAGAAATCAATTGTCACAGTCAGCCCTGATGAAGCATGGTGACGAACAGTGGAAACACTGCTTTGATCATATTCAGGTTGGGGCATTTCTGGTCACATTTAGATTTTAAAACTTGTATTTTAAGCAGACAATTTAAGATGTTTCTATTTAGTGTTTGTCTCTTTTTGCAATAAACAGGATTTTTATCAAAAGTCATATCTGCTCATCGACATATCTTTCTGATAACTTTAAATTAAGTGATTTTAAAGAATGAAGACGTTTTGTTTTGTTACGTTGGGGCCACACTTGTATATTATTATTATGGAAAACATGCAAGGTTAATAATTTGAGGCATTAGATTTGTTTATTCTTCTAGACTTTACAACAGAAGGCCAACACATTGTTTGACTGTACCATACCTCTGACAAAGAAACAGCTCATCACATGGTACGCCAAAATAAAAACTCAGAATAAAATGAAATCTTTTCCTCCTTATTTTCAATTTTATAAGTCATTGTTCATGAGTTACCTGCAGTGTATATTTAGGACTGGAAAAAAGTTGAATTTAACCCTAAAATTTTTTTATGCCTCAAGTATTTTGCTATAATTGAAAAGGTAAATGGTGCTTTTCATTACAGGAGTGACCTTGAGAAAGTGAGATCTGTGTACAGAGATTTAAATGACTGTGTACCTAGACTGACAGAGATAGAGAAACACTTCTGTGACCCTGAAGACAAAACTCTGCCCTCATTTATGGAGACAGTCAGGTACCTCAGACAGGAAATACACACCAGGTCTGAAAAATTCACACACTGGGTCAACATGGAGTCAAAAACACAGATCAACACATGGTCAGATAAGGATCAGTTAAAGAAATTGGATCTAGAATCATCAAGGTCAGATGTAGGACATACCAGAAGTGATGACAGTGGAGAGGGGATTGAGGTGGAGACATTTAGTCGAAAGGTGGAGAATCTGATAGCTGGTCTGTTACTGAGTGTACAGGAACTTACACAGAATCACAATCAGAGTGCTGAAATGGAGAAAGGTATTAGGTTTGCACAATCTGTTGTTATTCACAGTGTTATAATAGGACATATTCTGTTTTCTAACAGATATTGATATTTTTAGAAGAGGATAGTGGGACATTGTTAGAGGGACATCTAGTCGTCCATCTTGATGAAAGATTAAAGGGAGATAAACAATGTCTTCAACTGAAAAAGGTAAATGAATTTAATACATGTATCTTTATTATTTTGTTTTTTCTTTATGTTTCCGATGTTTTCATTCTAATGCACTGCATATTCAAAACATTTTAAGAATAATAATTTATTATTTTGTTTTTATGTGCAGATAATTCAGTCTATCAAGAGTTTAGTGAAGGATGTCCTTGACCTTACAGACACAAGTTCAGATGTCCTGATCTTTGTCCAGATTCTAGGACAGTGTCAGCCATTAGTACAGCAGTACCGAGACATGGTGGAGTACTACTTACTTCATAGTTTGGCTGAGAACAGGGTGACAGGGAAACTCCTGTCTGTTCTGTTAGCCGTCTTCACTGAACTGACCTCTAAAGTAAGAAAGACCACAAGATAGTTCTCATGTGAACACAGCTGCTTAAAACTACAGTGTATTCTTTAACATAATAATGTAGGAAAAGTTAATTACTTATAATTATTTCTCCAATTATAAATTTTAATGCATATTCTTGTGTCTCTCGGGGATGCTGAAAATACTGTTAATTTTAAGACAAAATATATGTTTGTTTTTCTAAATACTGTAAACTGTAATATGTTTGTTTTTTGACAGGGGTTCTGTGTTCCCGCTGAGTTTGAGGATGAGGTGGCAGGGGCGGGAGCTACAGAGTTTGAGGACATTGAGGGAGGGGGGCTAGGTCAAGGTGAAGGGGTCAAGGATGTCAGTGATCAGATAGAGAATGAAGACCAGGTAAAGAACATCAGTTTTAATCAATACATCAGAGATGAAATTTAGCTAAGGATTGATTTCAACATAGTTTTGTGTTGTAGAAGACAACCCATTTAGTTGGAACTTATTTAATTCCAACATGTGTTGAAATGTTTGCTTCTTCTAATAATGAGATTCCCTTTAAATAATTTTAAACAGCTTGATGAAGCCAGGAAAGCAGGGGAGGAGAGAAAAGAGGAAGATTCCTCCCAGCAGCCTGACATCAGGTCCGAGGAGAATGCCATAGAGATGCCTGACAACTTTGAGGGCAAAGTTCACGACCTTGAGGCAGCAGACCAAGAGGAAAGGTCAGATGAAGAGGATGATGGGAAGGAAGAGGAGCTGGATAGACAGATGGGAGAAGTGGATGGGAATGACACAGAGAAGTTAGACGACCAGATGTGGGGGAGTGATGAAGAGGAGGGGGAGGATCAGGGGGTGAGTGCAGAAAGGTCAAATGGTCAGAACCATTATTTTGATATTTAAAAAAAAGTTTAAATATAGTCTTTAGTCTCAGAGAAAACATGCATAAAATTTTAAGGGTTTTTTTTGTTCTTCTTCAAATGCTCAATAATATAATTATGAATATAATTAAAGAACAGATCTGCTTAATTAAGATGATGTAAATCTATATTTGTCAATTTTTAAAGTTACTTAATTGACTAAAGTAAAATTATGACCAAAGTATAATTTGATTAAAAAGGAAAAAGAAGAATTTGGCCCAGGATCCCAGCAGGAGCAGAAGAGTGAACTGGTAGCTAAGGACGACAACCAAGACAAGACAGAAGCAGACGACAAATCAGAAAAGCAGACGACAGATGAAAACGAGGCTGAGGAGAATGATGAGAACCAGAAACCACAGGAACTGGAGCAGATAGATGAAGTAAGTACCAATGCTTCAAATGATTCATTGAGAATAGGGAAAAATGTATACTTCAATGTTAACATTGACTCTTTGTGTTGTAGTCAGAATATGATGATGACAGAATCGACCCTAACCATGGTAGCCAGGAACCCCAGCAGGCCCCTGACAACATGGATCTCCCTGATGACCTGAAACTGGATGAAGAAGAGGCCGGGGTCACAGAAGAAGATCAAGGTCAAGGTCTGTATAAATAGCTATATAACTGAAAAAATATTTTCTTGAAATATGAATATACCAAATAAACTTGCAGTAAAAGTTCAAAACTTTATTAAAACCTCTTTTGCAAAAATTAGATAAAGGTGTCTTCATGTTTAATTACTATATGCAGAAGAGCCTCCATCAGAGCCCCCTGGTGGTGACACAGAGATGACAGAGACAGGAGACAAGGGAGATAATCAAGACATGGAACAAACAGAGGAGGACACTGTTTCAGTAAAAACTTTAAGAGAATATTATTTTGGTTTTATTGCAAAAAAAATTTCTTAGATTTCATGATGCATTATGAAGTCAAATATATCCAGTTTTTGATGATTTGCTCGAAAATCAAGTAAAGTAAGAAATTGTTTTGATATGGTTCATTGATTATGCATTCAATGACTTTTTAAGGTTATTCTTAGTCAGGTCATCTAGTAAAGGAAGAAGATTGTAAAAGGCCAGGTTTAATAAAAATGGCAATATCTCTGTAGAAATGAATACCACAATACTCTGCTACATGTTTGTATCTTTGTAGGAAGTGGAGCCAGAAATGTCAGAGGACCAGGACAACCAGACTGGAGAGGAACCAGACAAAGAACCAGAAACCAGGCAAGAGGAAGAAGGAGAGGGGGATCCAGGATTTTCTGCTCAGGTAATGGCCGTCATATTAAATCACTATATTGAAATCTATGTCATGGGAGTTAGCTCAATTAATTTTCCAGGATTGTTCAGAAATAATGTTTAGTTAAATATATTTCAGAATGAACCAACAGATATTCAGGATGAAGAAGACAGCTCTAAGAATAAGGATGACAAACCCCAGGCAGCAGAGACTTATGGGAAGACTTCCCATGATTCCCAGAATGTAGAGCAGTCAGAATCAGCCCAGGATCAGGGAGGGGAACCAGACAATGACCAGAAAGAGGTTGGGCTTTATTAAGGCTGGGCAACTAATTTTTCAATACAGACAAAGACTGCTTTTGATTTTATTTCTGTAACTTTCTTGATGATAGAACATTCCTCTCTCATTCAAATTGCATATATGTATTACAAGTATTCAGGGAATTATACATGAAAATTTTTGCCTCCATTTTAATTTCACTCATTTCGCCCTAGACCCAAGTGGGTGAGTGTAAGACAGGTCGAATTCAAAGAAAAAAGCATGTTAATTTCTTAAACAGAACAGTGACTGGGAGAATTTAAAATGGTTTAAAATTGTTTTGAAGTGTGAAAAGGGCGATAATAACGGGGTAAAAAATAACCCTGTATACAGTAAAACTATTTGCAAAGAAAATATTTTTATGATACACATGTATTTAATATGTAACATATCTTCAGATTTTATGGTTGAGTTTTAAAAAAAAGGATTCCTGCTTATACCTGTACATGTATGTAACAAAAACTATAAACTTACTAGATGTATATATTTATAGAGTGAAGGAACAGGCTGTTCAAACTTAGAAGCTGAAGATGGTCATGAAGGTCAAAGTTCAAAGGTTGCTCCATCATCCACCAATCAGTCTCAAAAGGTATTCTGGTGATAGTTTTATTGTTTTAATGACATGATCTTTGATGTCATAGATAATTAATGGGTTCCATATCATGTACATGTATATATAAAGGTTTCCTCACAAATATTCAAGCCAAAAGTTTAAATCCATGTTGTGATATTTACTTTTAGTCCGTGAAACGAAAAGCTGGTCAGTCAAATGAAGACAGAAGTTTAGGAACTAATGAGAACCAGTTTAAGAAACTGAAGACCATCGAAGAATCTTCTGCCACTGAGGAGGTATTTTTGTCTGTCCAAATTAAAAGCATTTATTACCACAATATTTGCAAAAGTGCAAAAAAATTACTCATCTTTTCTTTGTGATTATTAAGTTTTTTTTTAAGAAGTCACCGTAAGTTTCATTCATTGACATTCTACGTGGATTTTGTAGAGCAAGGAAAATCAAGATTCTACAGAAAAAGTCTCAGAGCTGTATGAACATATCAAAGATACAAAATCATCACATGATGCCCAGACACTAGATGTGGCCACTGATAAACAACAGATGGAGGAGGCTGTACCTAACAAAGAGGTGGATCAAGAGAGTGGAGGGGTGGAGGAAGAGGAAGAGGTGAAGATGGAAGAAGACAATGAAGAGGTGGATGGAAATAACAATAAACTGTGTGCAGCACATTACTGTATTTAGAGATTTTTGTACAATGGAAAAGATAACAAAAATTACTTGTAAAAATTGGAAATCTTGCATCTATTTACACACATTTTAGTTGAAAAAGTTCATCTACTGTGAACTTTTATGATAATCATATACAGTTTATAAAAAGTTTTCATTTTTACCCAGGAAATGGATGAAGCAGTTGAAAAGCTGTCATCCCACGTAAACACAAAAGACAAACATAACAAGAAAAGGGAAGGAATGAATGAAGAAGGGATGAATGAAGATCAGGAGGAGATAATGAAGTATGAAACAGAGGGTGTCATCATGGAAACACTGGGGGCCTCAAGGGGACCAGAATCTACAATTCACACCACACTGGAGAATCTCCACTTAGAAGCCAGGGTAGACAATAGAAAGCATACATTGTCTTTTTACTCCATCTGTAGATTCAGAGCTTTCCTTTAACTTAAGCTGAAACCTGATAGATATAAACAAGAGGTTTTTAATGAATATTTTCCAGGGTTCAGACTTAGATATGGAGAGGCTCAGATCAGAGTTAGAGGAACAGTTGTCTACCTTTACCAACACAGTAAATCACACAGCAGAGGCAGTGAGTATTACTGACAATAGGTAGATTCTAAATATATCACACAGCAGAGGCAGTGAATATTGCTGACAATAGGTAGATTCTAAATATATCACACAGCAGAGGCAGTGAGTATTACTGACAATAGGTAGATTCTAAATATATCACACAGCAGAGGCAGTGAGTATTACTGACAATAGGTAGATTCTAAATATATCACACAGCAGAGGCAGTGAGTATTACTGACAATATGTAGATCCTAAATATATCACACAGCAGAGGCAGTGAGTATTACTGACAATAGCTAGATTCTAAATATAAACAACCATGGAAATATTAATAATAACACTCACAATCCAGGTATTTAATAGATCACTGGTATTTTGTGAACATTAGACAAGACTTGGTCAAGTGATTTAAATTTTAAATTCCCTTTTTTAAAGATCTGTTTTCATGTACTAGAGAATAGATATTTTTCCTCATATATTAAAAATGGTCATATGAATCAAACTAATATGTGTTGGGTTTCAGTCTTTGGATTATTATATTGTACATTAAACTCTGGACTATTATATTGTACATCAATTGTTGTACATTAATTTCTGTAAACATGATTGGCAGGAAGAGGCAGCATCAGAGGCATGGCACCGATACGAGGCTTTGACATCAACTCTGTCCCAGGAACTGTGTGAACAACTCAGGCTAGTGTTAGAACCCTCACAGGCCACAAAACTCAGGTAAGGTCCCAGGAACTGTATGAACAACTCAGGCTCATGTTAGAACCCTCACAGGCCACAAAACGCAGGTAAGGTCCCTGGAACTGTGTGAACAACTCAGGCTAGTGTTAGAGCCCTCACAGGCCACAAAACTCAGGTAAGGTCCCAGGAACTGTGTGAACAACTGAAGTCAGATTTATATATGCATGTAAGTTACTTGTGTTTTAAGGGAGACTATAGGACTGGTAAGAGGTTAAACATGAGGAAGGTCATTCCTTACATACCAGACAGTGAGTGTAATTATAGTCAGATTTATATATAAGTTACTTGATGTGTGTTGTAGGGGAGACTACAGAACTGGTAAGAGGTTAAACATGAGGAAAGTCATTCCTTACATCGCCAGTCAGTTCAGGAAAGACAAAATCTGGCTCCGTCGTACCAAACCCAGCAAACGACAGTACCAGATCATGCTGGCTATAGACGATTCCTCAAGTATGGTAGACAACCATTCCAAACAGGTCAGTACAACAAATAACATGAGGCGAAGGTTAAGAGCATTTCAAATAGGTCATTGTTAAGAGGTCAAGGACAGACGAAGGAAATAACAGAAGTAAATTTTATTTTCTAGAATGACAAGCAAAATGGGAAGGAAAATTTTATAAGTATTTGTAGATAATATACATTACGTTTAATTTACATATAACCAAAACATACCTGTCAAATTTATGGATTTTTATTTTCAGTTGGCTTTTGAGTCCCTGGCGTTGATTTCTAATGCTCTGACTTTGTTAGAGGCAGGGGATTTGAGTATCTGCAGGTATGTTATAGATCAATGTAGATGCAAGCATTTGTTTGTGGCAAAGTATTTGTTTACATTTAAACAGTACTGCCTTATTTTAAAAAGATAAATTATAATGTACATAGTACTATAATAAAGACTGATAATGGGCAATAAATCTGTCTTAATAATCCTTAACAATTCCATGTTCCGCGTCTTGGAAGTAGGGTGCACTGCTCAAACGGGGTGGACCCCTACCCTACTAGATTGGTGGTAACAAATTATTAAACAAAATAATGTACAGTCTTAACAGTATTGAATTTCATATCCATAATGAAACAAGATATAGAAATGCTGTGAGTTTATTTTATAATTAATGATAATTATTTCCACAGTTTTGGAGAGTCTGTACAAATCCTTCACCCATTCACTGAGCAGTTCACAAGTCACTCGGGATCCAGATTGTTACAGCAGTTTACTTTTGAACAGAAGAAAACTAAAGTGGCTCAGGTATGACTGAAAAAAATTCTATAGTAAATGTGCACAAACTGTAGCTGATGAAAGTTATGATAACAAGTGTTTCAATTGAGAGGTCTAGAGTGTGTTTCAGATGCAGACAAGTATAAAGAGATGGGGATTTCTTATATTCCCAACATCCTTAAGCATAAAAAGGAAGGGGGCACTAACTCTAGCAGACTGAGGTAATGATAACAGGTGATTGTGTGTACTTTAGTATACTTACTCTAATCTCTTTTCAGCTTTTGAAGAAAGCCACATCAGTGATGCTGGATGCTCGCTCCAGACAGCGAGGGATTCTGGGTAATCCTGAGACGTCACAGTTACTGCTAATCGTGTCTGATGGGCGGGGCTTGTTTAACGAGGGAATGGAGACAGTGAGATCTGCTGTCAGACAGGCGCGGGAGGCCAGTGTGTTCCTAGTGTTTGTTATCATTGATAATCCTCAAAACAAGGTACATAACTCCTGTAATCCCCAGAACAATGTACATAACTCCTGTAATCACTAATAATCCCCATAACAAGGTACATAACTCCTGTAATCACTAATAATCCCCACAACAAGGTACATAACTCCTGTAATCATTGATAATCCCTAGAACAAGGTACATAACTCCTGTAATCATATAATCCCCAGAACAAGGTACATAACTCCTTTAATCATTGATAATCCCCACAACAAGATACAGAACTCTTGTAATCACTGATAATTCCCAGAACAAGGTACATAACTCCTGTAATTATTGAAAATCCCCACAACAAGGTACATAACTCCTGTAATTATTGATAATCCCCAGAACAAGGTACATAACTCCTGTAATCATTGATATTCCCCTGAACAAGGTACATAACTCCTATTATCACTGATAATCCCCACAACAAGATGCATACATGTAACTCCTGTAATCATTGATAATCCCCAGAACAAGGTACATAACTCCTGTAATTATTGATAATCCCCACAACAAGGTACATAACTCCTGTAATCACTGATAATCCCCACAACAAGGTACACAACTCCTGCAATCATTGATAATCCCCACAACAAGGTACATAACTCCTGTAATTATTGATAATCCCCACAACAAGGTACATAACTCCCGTAATTATTGATAATCCCCACAACAAGGTACATAACTCCTGCAATCATTGATAATCCCCATAACAAGGTACATAACTCCTGTTAGTACTGATAATCCCCACAACAAGGTACATAACTCCTGTAATTATTGATAATCCCCACAACAAGGTACATAACTCCTGTAATTATTGATAATCCCCACAACAAGGTACATAATTCCTGTTAGTACTGATAATCCCCAGAACAAGGTACATAACTCCTGTAATGATTGATAATCCCCACAACAAGGTACATAACTCCTGTAATTATTGATAATCCCCACAAGAAGGTACATCACTCCTGTAATTATTGATAATCCCCACAACAAGGTACATAACTCCTGTAATGATTGATAATCCCCACAACAAGGTACAGAACTCCTGTAATGATTGATAATCCCCACAACAAGGTACAGAACTCCTGTAATGATTGATAATCCCCAGAACAAGGTACATAACTCCTGTAATCATTGATAATCCCCACAACAAGGTACAGAACTCCTGTAATTATTGATAATCCCCACAACAAGGTACAGAACTCCTGTAATCACTGGCAATCCCCACAATAAGGTACAGAACTCCTGTAATCATTGATAATCCCCACAACAAGGTACATAATTCCTGTTAGTACTGATAATCCCCACAACAAGGTACATAACTCCTGTAATTATTGATAATCCCCACAACAAGGTACATAACTCCTGTAATTATTGATAATCCCCACAACAAGGTACATAACTCCTGCAATCATTGATAATCCCCAGAACAAGGTATATAACTCCTGTAATTATTGATGATCCCCCGAACAAGGTACATAACTCCTGTAATCATTGATAATCCCCACAACAAGGTACAGAACTCCTGTAATCATTGATAATCCCCACAACAAGATACAGAACTCCTGTAATCACTGATAATTCCCACAACAAGGTACATAACTCCTGTAATCACTGGTAATCCCCACAATAAGGTACAGAACTCCTGTAATCATTGATAATCCCCACAACAAGGTACAGAACTCCTGTAATCACTGATAATCCCCACAACAAGGTACAGAACTCCTGTAATTATTGATAATCCCCACAACAAGGTACAGAACTCCTGTAATTATTGATAATCCCCACAACAAGGTACAGAACTCCTGTAATCACTGATAATCCCCACAACAAGGTACAGAACTCCTGTAATCACTGATAATCCCCACAACAAGGTACAGAACTCCTGTAATCACTGATAATCCCCACAACAAGATACAGAACTCCTGTAATCACTGATAATCCCCACAATTAGATACATAACTCCTGTAATTATTGATAATCCCCACAACAAGATACAGAACTCCTGTAATCACTGATAATCCCCACAAGAAGATACAGAACTCCTGTAATCATTGATAATATCCACAACAAGGTACATAACTCCTGTAATGATTGATAATCCCCACAACAAGGTACATAACTCCTGTAATGATTGATAATCCCCACAACAAGGTACATAACTCCTGTAATGATTGATAATCCCCACAACAAGGTACATAACTCCTGTAATTATTGATAATCCCCACAACAAGGTACATAATTCCTGTTAGTACTGATAATCCCCACAACAAGGTACATAACTCTTGTAATTATTGATAATCCCCACAACAAGGTACATAACTCCTGTAATTATTGATAATCCCCACAACAAGGTACATAATTCCTGTTAGTACTGATAATCCCCAGAACAAGGTACATAACTCCTGTAATCATTGATATTCCGTTGAACAAGGTACATAACTCCTATAATCACTGATAATCCCCACAACAAGATGCATACATGTAACTCCTGTAATCATTGATAATCCCCAGAACAAGGTACATAACTCCTGTAATTATTGATAATCCCCACAACAAGGTACATAACTCCTGTAATCACTGATAATCCCCACAACAAGGTACATAACTCCTGCAATCATTGATAATCCCCACAACAAGGTACATAACTCCTGTAATTATTGATAATCCCCACAACAAGGTACATAACTCCCGTAATTATTGATAATCCCCACAACAAGGTACATAACTCCTGCAATCATTGATAATCCCCATAACAAGGTACATAACTCCTGTTAGTACTGATAATCCCCACAACAAGGTACATAACTCCTGTAATTATTGATAATCCCCACAACAAGGTACATAACTCCTGTAATTATTGATAATCCCCAGAACAAGGTACATAATTCCTGTTAGTACTGATAATCCCCAGAACAAGGTACATAACTCCTGTAGTTATTGATAATCCCCACAACAAGGTACATAACTCCTGTAATTATTGATAATCCCCACAACAAGGTACATAACTCCTGTAATTATTGATAATCCCCACAACAAGGTACATAACTCCTGCAATCATTGATAATCCCCAGAACAAGGTATATAATCCTGTAATTATTGATAATCCCCAGAACAAGGTACATAACTCCTGTAATGATTGATAATCCCCAGAACAAAGTACAGAACTCCTGTAATCATTGATAATCCCCACAACAAGGTACAGAACTCCTGTAATGATTGATAATCCCCACAACAAGGTACAGAACTCCTGTAATCACTGATAATCCCCACAACAAGGTACAGAACTCCTGTAATCACTGATAATCCCCACAACAAGGTACATAACTCCTGTAATCACTGATAATCCCCACAACAAGGTACATAACTCCTGTAATCACTGATAATCCCCACAACAAGATACAGAACTCCTGTAATCATTGATAATCCCCACAACAAGGTACAGAACTCCTGTAATCATTGATAATCCCCACAACAAGGTACATAACTCCTGTAATGATTGATAATCCCCACAACAAGGTACATAACTCCTGTAATGATTGATAATCCCCACAACAAGGTACATAACTCCTGTAATTATTGATAATCCCCACAACAAGGTACATAATTCCTGTTAGTACTGATAATCCCCACAACAAGGTACATAACTCCTGTAATTATTGATAATCCCCACAACAAGGTACATAACTCCTGTAATTATTGATAATCCCCACAACAAGGTACATAATTCCTGTTAGTACTGATAATCCCCAGAACAAGGTACATAACTCCTGTAATCATTGATATTCCCCTGAACAAGGTACATAACTCCTATAATCACTGATAATCCCCACAACAAGATGCATACATGTAACTCCTGTAATCATTGATAATCCCCAGAACAAGGTACATAACTCCTGTAATTATTGATAATCCCCACAACAAGGTACATAACTCCTGTAATCACTGATAATCCCCACAACAAGGTACATAACTCCTGCAATCATTGATAATCCCCACAACAAGGTACATAACTCCTGTAATTATTGATAATCCCCACAACAAGGTACATAACTCCCGTAATTATTGATAATCCCCACAACAAGGTACATAACTCCTGCAATCATTGATAATCCCCATAACAAGGTACATAACTCCTGTTAGTACTGATAATCCCCACAACAAGGTACATAACTCCTGTAATTATTGATAATCCCCACAACAAGGTACATAACTCCTGTAATTATTGATAATCCCCACAACAAGGTACATAATTCCTGTTAGTACTGATAATCCCCAGAACAAGGTACATAACTCCTGTAATGATTGATAATCCCCACAACAAGGTACATAACTCCTGTAATCATTGATAATCCCCAGAACAAGGTACAGAACTCCTGTGATCATTGGTAATCCCCACAGCAAGGTACAGAACTCCTGTAATCATTGATAATCCCGAGAACAAGATACATAACTCCTGTAATCATTGATAATCCCCACAACAAGGTACATAACTCCTGTAATTATTGATAATCCCCACAACAAGATACATAACTCCTGTAATCACTGATAATCCCCACAACAAGGTACATAACTCCTGTAATCATCGATAATCCTCAAAACAAGGTACTTAAGGTAAAATATGTCAGTCATTATTTGAATATGATATCATTTTTGTTGAGTTTACACTTACTTTATTGAAAGGAACATTTTTTATATTGCGATTACTCAACCATTGTCAAGGTCAAGGTGATTGATACATGATCATTTAACAAACCTGACATCTTATTTGGTTTTGCAGTATTATTTTGTGGTGTTCCAAGATAGATCATGTATGCAACTCTATCATATTTCAGGATATACATGTATCAGTTAGAGCATTTTTTTGATTTGGAATTCAAAATTTGATAATATTGTCATTGACTTTTAGACATATTGTACATATACTCATTTTGTGGATTTCTGGAGTGGAATTGAATGTTTTTTTTCCATCTGAATATGTTTAAATAAATATCACATTTATATGTTTCATATTACAGGATTCCATATTAGACATTAAAGTCCCAGTTTTCAGGAGTGGGAACCAGGTAAGTTCCCTGTTAAACAGAGAAGGATTATAGTAACAGAGAGGGTCATATGCTTCTTTATGTCACTTTATTATACTGCATATATTTGCAAGTTACATTAATTTTAAAATTTATTTATTTTAATTCATGTCTCTCTGAAAGTCATTTTTCTTGAAGACTTTAGTAAATATTTCATGTAGGGAGAGGCCGAATTAAGTTTTATGAACTTGTGCCCCATCCCATTGTATTTATTTATTATAAAAATATGTTGAAATCCAAAAAAATACTGCAAAAGTTATGTTGCTTGCACTTGGAATAATAAATTACATTTGTTCATTTTTATGACTATGATGACAAGCAAAATACATGTAATGATTATGAGTATTTAACTGTGTTTCAAATCTTGATGTTCATTTCAGACGTACAATTCATGTGTTATGTCAATTTCAGCTTCCAGAAATCAAGCCATACATGGATTATTTCCCCTTTCCTTTCTACATCTTACTGCGAGACATAAATTCCCTTCCTCATGTGTTGTGTGATGCCTTAAGACAATGGTTTGAACTAGTGACAGCTGTGGATGTGTGATCAGTCCTGTGTAGATGTTGTTTGATGCCTTAAATCAATGGTTGAACTTGTAATAAAAACTGTGGATGAATGAAAAATTCTGTGTAGATGGATATACTGTGGTTTTGTGAACTACTTTTCTTGTGAACTTACAAGCACAATGAACACATACAATAATAATAATGATACGATGTATGTGCAGTATATGTGAGATGGAAATTATGTGATTTGTCAGAGTTTTTAAGAAGTTGAAGAAACCATAAATTTTACTGATTAATTCATTATGACAATTTTTGAATATTTTGTTTCTGATGAAACATTATACACTTTGAAATATTTTTATACAATTTTCAACATAATGACAATAATAACAGATTTTGCCAAATGATTACAGTGCTGTAATAACCATGTTAGGTTATTCATCTTAGGCGAGAAACATAATTATGAATCCATTCCAATTATAAATGATAAATCATTGTTTTGTTCTTAACCTAACATGTTGAAAAGAGAATCTTTTTTCAAGACTGTAGGTGCTTGTAACATTTATTATATACTGGTCTTGCAAAGTAAAAGATGATGTAAAATGTTAATGTGTGCCATAAGACACATTATGCAGATGTACCTTTCTTTGAGGGATGTTGAAGATTCTTTTGTTATGTTTAAATCAAGAGGTTGTTAAGCTTCAGAACACTGGAAAATAAAGTATGCTTAAAATTAGTGTTATCTTTATGTTACATTTCAAAATTTGATATATATTTAAGGATCACTTTTACCACCAAAATAAAGCCTAAATTATGGACGTCGTATAAAGAGGTACCACTATATTTTTCCTTTTCTTTATTTTACTACATTTATTTTAAAGAGCAGAAGGTATCTTTTTCTGTGAAAAACTTTTTGAATTTGTATCAGCAATGTCTTCTAGACCTGTACAGTAGCCCTTTCACAAAATATCTTACGACATAATTTTATCTTAAGTGAAAACTTATGATAAAAATTTTCAAAAAAATTCTTAGATCTTAAAAGTGCAAAATCTGTCGTAACTTTACGGGAGCCCTAACCCTGTCTTAAGTATTTAAAAACCAATTTTATTGTATAATAATTAACCGCAAAAACCAAAGATTGAACTTCTTCAAGCAACTTACAATAATATTTTTATCCTTTTTTCGAAATTATTGTAAAAAAATTAAATGAAATACACATAATCAATGGTATAATCGTGTTCAATATTAGCACAACAATATTCTTTCTTTTGTTACAGTTGGCTATGTAACATTCGCATTACCAGATCACGGACCTATCTTTAAATTAAGAATTAGCCATATAAATATTGTTTCGTTCTCCTTTTAAGAAAAAAAAAATGTTTTACAACCCGTTTCAAAAAGTTCACTGATCAAAGAGGAGCAACTCTCAAAATGTGGGAGATTTTCCCCCTCCTAGTTGAGTTATTTCCTCCTGTTTGTCGAACAGTTATGAAGACAAAATGAATTCTATGAACTCAGGAACTGAAAACTATAATATAATTATACTAAGTAAGTACCAAAAATGTTAAGGAATTTTTTCTGAAATGACCCGAATTCAAGAATATCTTATATGCGACAAACTGGCCCTATCCGACCATCTAGATATATACCACTGTCAACAATTTCAGTGCGCATTTCCTCGAATCAAAATAAAACGTTTTATACATGTATCACTGTACATGAATATATTGACACATGAATAATTTAAACATAGATGGAGAATTTACAGTTTGATAAATTGAAGTTAATGTAGACGAATACGAAATTTCCATTTTATCTATAGAAGCAAAAGAAGGATGTATACAAGAGAAGGGGGTATTTTTAGACCCCTCTCTTGTTTGAAATAAATAAGAAACAATATATTCCATTTACCAGCCTATTTACATAATAGAAGAGTTGAATTTTCAACATTGTCCGTTCACTTTTGATTAAAAATAAGATTGAAATTCAATATAAGTTGAATTCATACGCAGGTATAAAATTAAATGCATGTCGGCTATGTGTATGGACTACATATTGGACACGTGGACATTAAATCCCTAGAGAATAAGTTTTACTTTTATTCTAGTAGTTGATAAGTTTAACTCTTATTCTAGTTGTCAGAATTTAAATCTGCATGAATGGATTAATAAATTGGTACTTCAGGGATTTAAAAGATTAAATATATATCTCGGGGTAACCTATGTTTCATCAAGCTCTAATGACAGCGTCCAAAAAAAAAGGGGGGGGGGTGGCTTCGTCAAAAATTGTCTATACATATGCAGTTCAATGAACTGAACAGTTTTAAGAACTCTGATATATAATGTAAATAATTTTTTTAAGCAAAAGATATCTTCTAGCTTGGAATTTGTCATGTGTATTTGTAGATCTAACAATGTTTTCGTCCCATGTCTGAATGTCTCTTGAGAAACGTGACTTAAGGAGAAAAAAAGGGGGGGGGGATTTTTCGCTATAAATTCAAAACGACTCGTTTAAAAAAAATAAAAAAAAAAAAAATACCAAGATTACTTTTGTAACCAGTTATATGAAAAAAAAAATATTTTTTCAAAAATATAAATGATAGGTTTATCGTTAAAAAATATTAAAATTGAAAAATACGCATTTTTCAAGGCTTAAATGAATCATAGTTTTTCAGTTTAAGTTCTTAAAAAATATTTTGGCGATGTGTACCTCTACAGAAATACTTTATTTGTGTGGTTATTGGTCAAATGAATGAGTCGATGAAATTTGACATCCAGTCTAAATGGACTTTTTTGAAAATCAAGTATTTTATAGCTAGCCGATTGAAAATTTATTCTCCGCGTGCACAACCAAAGGGGAGGTAACTTTTGGAACTCCCTGTCCAAATACGACTCGAACGATTTTGTTCAAAATGTTCATATGCCTTGTATTTATAGTCCTGTATAAAATGTACAAAAATAGCGAAAATTAAACGACAGGAATTTTTTGGTGGTGGGTGTGTTGTACGTCCTTAAGATTTTCGTAAGTCCTACTTTTACGTCAGAATTGTGATTGTGACGTCAGATTCCATGCTTCCTTCACAATCGATTACATTCGATACTATGTCGTCAATAATGTTTATTTTGTTGTAAAACGTTGAAACCTAAGCTTTATTTTTATTTTCATCCACTTATTTAAGGATCATAAAGCATAATTATTGAAATTGTTGCTAGGGACGAAAACTGTCGTAAGTAAAATTTTAAGTTCAATCGGCTACAAATGCGTTCGAGAAAAGCACTTAAGATTTTGTGTCAGAGATTCTTAAATTAAAATTCCACGCAAAAACTTTTTTTGTGAAAAGGGCTACAGATAGATGATTTTTTTGCCCCTTTCACAAAAATTCATGTGACTCGAGCAAATTTCCCATTTTCCAACAAATATCAAAATTTTAGTAGACTTTCAACAAAATTTCTAGCTTTATGCAACATTAGAGTACTTTAGAAAATACATGTAATATTAAAAAAAATCTTTATCAAACAAAGAATTACAAACATGTTAAGTTTTTATGTTAGATCTAGTTGTAGTTTTTTTTTTGGGGGGGGGGGGGAGGGGAGGGGGGGTGCCACTGGTCCCTAACACTGCAAAACAGTACCCCAAGTGTATGTTGAATGGGAAACAACTTGATACAATTTACAGATCCAGAAACACAAAAGTCAAAATTCAATTTTATTGGCCATCAATAGGTTTTATAATTAATGCAAAGTCAGTCCTATATAGTAACTTCATTTTGTTTATATCTTATCTTTATAGCCATTTCGAGTAAGTTAAAAAACTGTACGGGGGATAAGGTAACGGATTTTAATCTACAGTCAAACCTTCACATTGGTTTGTACAAAAACGAGTCTTATTAATGAAATATATGGAGATAACGAACAGCATTCAAGCTCAAAAGTCCATTAAACAATACAAAATAGGAGCAGAGCAAACACGGACCTCCAAACATCAGAGGTGGGATCAGGTGCCATGGAGGAGTGAGCATCCCCTGCCGACCGGTCACACCCGCCGCGTGCTCCTTGTCATGATCGGGAAATAACGGAAAAATCCGTCGACAATTCAGTATGTAAATAATGGCCTAACAATTAGTATGAAAAAACGTCAGTCAGCATTTGACTCAATGATAAATTGTATTTGCTGACAAGGTCATTGTATCGACCATAGAACTTACGAAATGATGACTTTAAACGAGACAGCTGATATTCTTGTTTCATCAACTTGTTTGTCAATAATTTACCTCGTTTTAGAAATTGTTCATACGTAGAGCATGCTCTTGCGTATCGAATCAACTGAGAGATATATACCCCGTATAAGTAACATAAGTAACATCATTTTCTTTGGTATGTACAAAACCCAGTCATACCCAGGTATATACTTGGTTCATCAGCGAGTTGTAAGAAACTTAAGAAAAGCTTTGGAAGCTTTTCTAAGAGGCGCTTAGACAGGAACCAGATTACATAATAAATAAAACGGCAATATATAATAGCCACTGTGTTTAGAACTACAGCTCCCCGTCCATGTTGTCTATCTATTAGACAGTAGGGAGCAATTTTCCTTTTTATGGACGCAACCTAATATATATTCAGTATGGGTGGAGACTATCAAGCAAAATAAAACAAAAACACGAAGTAGCATTGTATTCAATAGTAAACCATATATCGGTGTGTCCCCCTCTCGTACCCAGTTTCTTATTCGGCCATGTAGCGTCAACTGAATAGAAATATACCTATGTAATGTGAATCTATATGAAAAAGCAATCATTAAGAAAACGATTCTCTTTTTTCTACATTTCTTTCAATTAATATTGTAAAGCCAAAATTACACAATTAGTGCTGTTTTTTTCACTCTGTTAGATGATTTAATCACCTGTGAAGACTTATGTTCGGACTTTCTGACTTAATCCTCCAAATGACCGAAAAAAGCAATAGTCTCTTTACATCATTAAATGATACAGACTTGCTGAGCAAACATTTGCATCTTGCATCAAATGGTTTTCTTTTCGAATTTCTAGGCCTGAGGCGTAAAAGTTCCACGTAATATTCAAGCAATGGATCATTATTTTTTGAAAGATATAGTCTCATAACTGCAACGGTGTGTGCAAACAAATTGAGTAACGCGCGTTACTCAATTTGTTTGCCCACACCTTTGCAGTTATGAGACTATATCTGATTCATTGCTTATATTTACATTTTTTTTAACTCTCTGCCTTGACTGCAAATGTGATTTATATTTCAAAACCCAAGTATTATCCTTTGTGTAAGCTACAGTAAATGGAAGAGCCAATGTAACAGCTTCTGGTCAATGTGAGCGTGATTTTTGATTTTCGCTTATGACGTTGTACTTCCTCGGCGATCAACGATTGTAACGTCAAAATAAAAAGCATGCTTTAACCTTTTGACCCCATTTCCGTGTTATGGTATTTTGAATGCCATAGATTTCCACACACTTTACATGCAAAATACATATGTAATGTGTATATATATATATATATATATATATATATATATATATATATATATATATATATATATATATATATATATATATATATATATATATATATATATAGTTTTTAAAGTTTGTACTTCCAACTTTAAAGTAAGCTTTTCCAACTTTAAAGTTGTCAATTACAACTTTAATCTTGGCTTCTCCAAATTAAACGTTAATGATTTAAATACATGTATAAATAATAGCTTTTCCAACTTTAAAATTGGTAATTCCAACTTGAATCTTGGCTTTTCTAACTTCAGTGCTGGTGATTTCAAATTTAAAGTTGGTGATTCTAACTTAAATGATTGTTTTTCTAAATTTAGCTGGTAACTTCAACTTAAATCTTGGCTCTCCCAACTTAAAAGTTAATTAAAACTTTAATCTTGGGTTTTCAAACTTTAAGGTTGGTTTTTGTTTGTTGTTTAACGTTCCTTTCGAAAATTTTCCACTTATAAGGAGAAGTGCAAATTAAGATCTATACTTAGCACTCAGGGCCATTGAACAGTGAGGGATCTTTTTCGTGCCAGCACCTACTGCGACACGGGACCTCGTTTTATACGTCTCATCCGAAGGACCGGTCTCCACGTCCCACAGTGGGATTCACGAGGGTTAATTTTTCTCATCTTTAGCGAGGGTGTTAAGATCATTAGAATTGAATATTGTTAACGATTCAGGTACTGAAGGTTACCATTGTCTTCTTGGTATCATCAAATCGCTAAAATTACTTCTCTCTAAATTAATTTGCGTCTCGCATAAAAAATCAAGTTATACGGTGTAACAAATACTGTATTTATTAACTGATTCCACAAGGCTCACATAGCATTTATATCATTTTTTTCCAAATCGATTTTGAAATAGGATATTATTCAAAGTATGCATCACAGAAAATATATCTTTACTCCTTTTATATCGAATATTGCTGATATTGAATCATCGATTTAACTGAACACAAACTTAAGTAAATCCCGGACCAGAATACTTTTTCTTTGTATAAAGATTTCTTTTAATTTGTAGTCACTTTTATTGAATTATCACTTGACATAATAAAGTAACTTACCGATATTGGTTTAATTAGTTTACCCTAAAACTCGCTTGAAAAAGGGGGGATGTATATTCATCCGTCAGTCCGTCCACCCATCCGAACGTCCATCCGTTTGTTACGCTTTGGGGGTATCCATCCACAGCTCCTTCTGTACCCATCCAATGAATGAAATTATTCAATACTCTCACAGAATCTTTATTACACAGTTCCACTGTGCACCTCTTTTTTTACTTTTTGATTTGAAACATAGGTTTTCAATAGCGAAACATTAACTTCGCCATTCTTTCTACAATATCATGAGAACCCAACTACCCATTTCTTATTTGCAACTTCCACACCACTATGAATAAAATTTAGTGATACTTTCACAGAATCTTTATCACAAATGGCCATTATGCACCTCCTACTTTACGTTTTGATCAGACAGATTTCTGGGCTTTCCATTAGCTCATATGGAAGCAGGGAATACAAATTTTGTGAGCTCACTGCTCACAGTACCTCTAGTTATTGTATTGAAGTCCTGTTAGGACCACATCACAGTAAGTTTTCCAGGAATTGTAGCGAATATGTTTATAATGAATGAAATCTACGACGCTTATAGGGATGTGATGTTCATTCCTCCTGAATCTAGCGGATATAATGAATTACGATTATTTTTGCGAAGCATCTTTCCATAGCACTTTATAAGCGTGTTTTACTGTACATATGTCAAGCAAGACTTTTAAACAATAAAATGCTTTCTTTGGTTGTTAGTGCGGGAATTAATGTTGCAGCTGTTGCAGCAACAAATACATATCCCGCGTATGCGGGTTATATGAAATTTTTTTCGGCAATAGCTGCGAAGTTAATTCCCGTACTAACAAACAAAGAAAGACATTTTATTGTTTATATTTATATCTTTATAAAATAACATGCAAAGTAAATTAAATATGTTAAATATTGTATTATAGATGCGTATGTCATTGTATGCATAATGGATGGAACAGCCGTTGCTCAAGAAATCAGTGCAGGTGGCTTGCTTAGTGTTGTTTATTGACTGACTAACGGCAATGGTTTTTATAAGAAATAAAGGAAATAATATTCGGTGGATGTAAATATATATCTACATAAATTTGATTACACAGTGAACCGATTTGCTTTTACAACATAAGAATAGCTCACGTTTAATTTTTCCAATGTTGTTTGGTCTGATGAAATTTCGATGGAGAATAACACTCATAAAGTCAACCAGGTTTCATGCATGTACCGAAAACCAGACAAAATATCTTCAGTTGATAATTTAAAAGTTGATGAGAAGAATAAAGACAAAAATGATGATTAAAGAATCTGTAGTTTTGTAACTCGAAGATTAAAACAACCATATTAAAAAAAATAACCAGCAACAGCAGCCCAGTGATCCAAGGGCCCATGTTTGATTCTTTTTCGCTTCAAACCAAAGACGCAAACGTATCGACTGTTTCTTTGCCAAGTTGCCTTTGCATTATCAAGAGTCTTTTGGATGAGACCTTAAAACCGAGGTCCAATTGCACTGTATGAGTTGGCACTTAAAAGAACCCCTCATGTTCAATGGCAAAGAGTGCCGAGTATAGGGCTGAAATTGAAGTCCTTTGCTGGTATAGTGACATCTCTACATGACAGAAAAATTCTCTTATGGGACCTAAAGCAACATACATACTAATAAATCTATAGACAAACATTAAGTAATTACACATGATAATAATTATTATAGCGCATAGCAATTACACATATAAACCCGATTTAAATGAAATAGTTCATTATCTGGTGTAAGAATGCAGCACAGTACCCAAGCATTGCAGTTAAGATAGCGTATTTCACCCAAATCTGAACCAGGGTTGCTTATCCTTTTTTTATGTATATATGATTTCACTGGGTGTTAGGTAACGATATCACTACAATACTGATAACTCGAATTCTTTTCATTAAGAAATGTTAAAACTTCGTAATTTTTCAACTAACAACATACTTTGATCCACTCAGAAGATTTGTTAAGATAGGTTTATTTCTGTAAAAGTTACGACGAGTTCAGTCTACTCTGGGGCAACCTTTCTACATGAGTATGTAACTAATTTTATCAACAGCCTAAACGACATCGAATAACTCACTGACAATTAGTATTCTAATCAAAATCAGAGCAAACTGGCTGATTTTATAAAGAGATCAGAGCTGTTTACTGCTATGGAAATTCAGTACTTGTCCTGTATTTCAGTTTAAAATATAATTCACAGATTGACCTCCCAAAATCATGCCCCTGCCTGTATGAAAATTTTCGCCCTGACTTAAGGCGGAAAAGGGCAAAAGTCAATAGACGAAATCCACCTTTCATCTCAAAAAAAACTAATAACTAGACTATTAGACGTACGTGTTTGTTGCTTCTTTTATTAAGAATAATTAACACCTAATAACGTTTGAGTGAGTATTGTTCAAAAACGATAATACATATACATGTACATCTACGCACATGTAACAATGCATGTTCAAAGTTTATCACAGCTCCTTATGTTATATTGAGCTTTGGATGTATTGAACATTTCTGTGGTCCCCTAAAGTTCAATACATTAAAAGTAGCCAGTATACCACCTTATTGTTACGATAATGGAAATAGTATACAATGAACTAAGTACAAAAGATAAGACATGGAGATATTGGAATGCATACATGGTGAGCGATTATTATTTTTGATGTAATGACCTACTTAAAGGACTCCAAAAAATATTAGAACAATTGTAAATGATATAAAATTTTGTATGGCAAGCACACCAAGGAAAGCATAATTACAAACAGAAATTCTTTTGTCAGACTTTTTGTTTACATCGTGTTAACGCAGATAGAGTTTGTGACACAAATTGATCCAAAAATAGCAAAGCAGTACATTAAATATTATTTTTTGTGTTCTGCAAATACTTGTACACAGAGACAGTAGAACTGTTCCATCCCCCGACCCAGAAATTATGCTGATTATCAATACAGAGAGTAAAGTAATATGCAGGATATTGTTCGGATGTGAGCAAAAGAGACAGGAACTGACCATTTATGTTCAGCAAGTGGATACTAGAGCAATTCTCATTATACCAAATATGGCTGTTACACACCAGAATGTGTCCCAGAACATCTGTACAGATTCCATAGGGACAGAATCTATACTGAGATTCATTACCAGAGTAAGAGAACCGATACTCTCCTAATTTGGTCACCACCACCACCTTTTTGGCTCTGCTATCTGATGTACAAATGTCACCATTATTGTTCTCTGTGATAAAGTTAACACTTTGGTACAGAGTTTGTCCTTCCTCATCCCACTGTATGTCCTGTAACTTCCTCCCTTCTCTGTTGTATCTGGTTACTTTGTTGTCTGACTTTGTCCCCATCCCGACCAATATGTGTCCATTGATAGGAGAAGAGTAGATTGCTCCAGGTACCCAGCTCCCTGTCTCAACAAGTTTGTTGATGGACATGTCACTAGTTACTCTGTATACAGTATTTTTATCGATATCTGTGTAAAGAAGTTCTCCCTCTTTTGTGACTGTGTGGTTACCTTGCTTTTCCCTCATACTGGTTGATATTTTCTGTAAGATGTTTCCTACCATATCATACTGAATGAGATAACCCAAGCTATCACTAGCCCAAATTTTTTGGGGGTGCAAGAGAGACAAATGAAAAGTTTTATGTCCCCGGCAGGTTACTTCGTTTACTTTTGTGACAGATGAAAGCTTAAACCTTCCAGATAAATCTATTTCAATTTTACCTAACTGTTTGGCTATTTCATCTTTATTAAGTGTGCCTAGTGTGAAAATTGGCAGTTTGGATTTAGCTTTGTTCAGCATCTTCAGGGAAGCTAATGAAATATCCTTATGGAATGAGATTAATTCAGTTGGATTTATTGATGACATTTTACGTTCATAGTCTGAAGTCATTTTTTCCAGGTAAGTTATATAGTCCTCTGTTTCCTTCTGTTGTTTCACCATATCATTTATAACAAAGTTCTCGATCTCATCCAGGTTTTTGTTATTATGATTAATTATGCTATCAACCACCTCTTTCAGTTCATCTGCTCTCTTCTTCATGGATACTCTAAACTTGGCAATTTCTCTATTGACATTATCCATCTTTTCTCCAATCGATTTTACATTATCTTTAGCGTCAGGAATAACTGTTTTCCAGATCTCAGTTATTTCCTTCTGACATAGCTGTAGAATGTCATTGTAGATAGTTTCAAGGTCACTGTTATCATGATCACTGTGATGTTGGGCAAAGCATGTAGAACAAAGAGGATCTTGGCACACATCACAGTGGATATTTATGTCTTTTGTGGGGTGGATACTGCATTTCTCTGAAGGAAGTTTTCTTTTTCTCTCGTGATAGAGAACAATCTCATGTCCAATGTTCTGCTCTAGATGGCACTGTTTGCATTGGTCACAAATTCTTTGGTGACAGGTATTGCAGTAAAACTCGGAGAAGTTTCTACAAGATTCCGTGTCACACTCGATAAAGTGCTGGGCTGTATCTGGTACCTCATCCATTATTATTGATGAAAGTTCTAGAAAATATCTATTATCAGAGTGTAGGTAATTAAGACACTTATAAGTGGTTATTGCTTACAATACACGCTACACTCTACATTTAAAAGAGATGTACTTAAGTTATTACCTTTTTCTGCGATCTGGTACTAAATGAATTTCTTTCATAATACCTTACCGGTCATGATTTGTGTCAGCCATTTGTAATGTATGTTTCTTAAGGTTGAATGCAGTTTACTTCTTATCCTGCTTCACACAAAAACATTTAAATCTCCAGTCTTTGGATATGGTGCAGAAATTAAAGGGTATAATAGTACCAGAATATCACGCAATAAAAGGATTTGTATTTAAATATGATAAGGGTAGCATTAAAAGGATCATAATCAATGTTTGGTGCTTATGTGTATAGATATGCTACTTGAAAGAATGAAGGCGTGCAAGGCGCGGACGATCCCCCGCTCTGCGAGAAGACATTTATCAATTCTAAAGAAGTCATGAAAAGTTATATTTTTCAAAAATTATAATATCAGTATAATCTTTTACACATTTGTTTCCTATATTTTGTTTAATAAATTATTGACAAATAATTCAATTTTCACTAATGTCTTAAGGTTTATAAAAAAAAGCTTCACGCATGATTCGAACTCTCTCCAAAGCTCATGGTTAACCACTACGCTACGAGGTCTGCTTGTCTTGTTTGATGTCAGTGTGAATTAAATAAACGGGTTTGATGAAGAGTAACTTTTTTCAGAAATGTTCGATTTTCATATAGAATGGGTTCAGACCCCATTTCTTTGAAACATGAAATAGATTTTACATTTACTTTTCCGCCATATAAACGTTAACGAAGAATGGAGACTTGACCCATTCATATTCAAAAATCATTTTTATGGCTATAATAAACCCATTTTCCAACCAATCCATTTATCAACCAAAAAGTCATTCAATAAAATAACTAAATCAAATGTGTTGAAAATGACATAATGAAAAACATAATTTTAGAAAAATATAACTTTCACGTGAACTTTGAAAATTTAAAAATATATTGTCCCAGAGCGGGGGATTGTCCTCGCCATTTTATGTGCCCTTTCTTCTTCCTTATGGCAATATAGACATCAAATTTCGACTTATCATGGTCATTGTATAACTTACAATCGATCTTTACCCACTGATCATGCACTTTGCATTGCAAGCATATATTGGCCAAATATTACAAAACATTGGATAGACAGATGCCTCAAGCACATGTGGCCTCCTGTGAGTGTGCTTAATGATATTTTGAACAATGATTATCACTGTGTGGCTATTGGGAGTAAATGTATTACCAGTGAAAATGAATTAGAATGGAGATTGTCCTTTTCTGTCTCCGAACAAAAGCTATTGTATATCATGAATCACACTCAGTTTTTATGCTATGGACTCCTTAAGATATTTCTCAGTGAAGTTATCAATAACAACGTGGAGGAACCATTGCTGTGCTCTTACTTCATGAAGACAACAATGTTCTGGTTAATACAAGTAGGGCATTTAAGCTGGTGTCCTAACAAATTACTGGAATGCTTTTGGACGTGTTTTAAATATCTCATTCAATGTGTGTATCGTGGTAAATGTTCAAACTTTTTTTATTCCCAAGAACAATATGTTTTTAAACAAGATCGTAGGTGCTGCACGTGAATCCTTGTTAGAACAGCTTGATCAGTATTACAGTCTAGGCGTATCCTGTCTACTCCAAAGCCCGACCCTCAGATCAATCCTTGAACCAGTCCTCAGCAGATCAGTATCTGTGATTGTTCTAACTGGAGTACAAAGTTTCGACATAACATCATGCCACTGTCATTGCTGTAAAGACCTATGTATCATTACTGAAATAAGAAATCTTGATGTTATTCTATCAAGGAATTGGTTTTTCAATTTGAAATCTGTAGAGATTTTGTTACAATCGCCTTTGTCACAATACCAGTCCCTGACACTACAGTACTACACAGCTGATATTCTTGCCCTTGCTGCCTTCATTATTGTAAGCAATGCCTCATATTTCAAACAAAAACATTACTATTATTTGCACAGAAACCTTTGCAATATCTTGCAATTGTCCTCAAGAATAGGAACTATCTCACATTCATTGTATTTAGTTATGTATTACTTTCGGACAGGGAGATATAATGAAGCCCTTTTTATAACTAATCTGACTAAGCAAAGACTTTCAAAGCCATTTATCGTATATAATGTTTTTGATAAAAAAAAGATACAGAGAAGACATAAGTAGTCTGTCTTTAAGTAGAAAAATGAAAATGTCCTGGGTTGTACCTATCAAGCTTTATTTTGAAGTACACTATATTGAAGAATTAATATTTGAAGAAGGAGAGAACAAAATGGAAGCTGCTATATTTCTTTCACCATTTGTGTTAGTAGAAATGCTCTCTGTGTTATCGAACTATCGACTCGGTAACAGACTTCAGTATTTAAACTCATTGACAGACCTCCACACTTTGCTCCTTTATGATAATGGAAGATATATTCCATTTCAACAAAGAGATTCATCCTGGTATATACTTGGAATCTGTCAACAAGTTGTAGGGGACTATCACAGGGCATTAGAGTCTTACCAAGAGGCACTTAGACTAAACCCAGATTACATAATAAAGAAAACAGTAAAAAAGAGAACAGAATATATACAGCATCAGCTTAATAGAAATGAACATCTATAACATGAATTCCTTTAAGTGATTAACATATGTACAATTTTTTTTACGCTAGTACTTAATTTCACGAAATAACATCGTCAAATCGTGGGAATATAAACTCGTGATTGCATTTATTGATTAAGGAATTTAACATACATTTCAGCAAAAGAAATTTTATATTTTCAAGTGGTATTTCTCGCAAAATTACGCTATAATAAATTTCTCTGTTAATTCAGAAATTTAGAGTATACAAGGACTTCTTAGCACAGGGAAAAATGACATTAACATGTGCAAAATATGATGTCTTGCACTGATAAAATCTTAAACATGTTTATATGCATGCATTGACTCCGTTGATAAACCTGCTGAAACAAGAAATAATTTGTAATTTATCTCGTTACTGTGGTACTAGTGATATTTTTTTTCCAAAGACTGCGTTTATGTTAACATTATTCAACTGTGATTGATTTTATTCTACAAAGACATGTACAAACTATTGAACTGTATTCAGAATTAACAATTTTGAATTGTAACGTTATTGAAATAAAATCACACAATGAAAATTCTCCTGTAGCATTCTTTGTTGTATAAAGCTTTGATTGTTGGTCACATATGTATTTTGCACTGATTTGTTTAACATAAAAAATCATTTACAAGATTTAAAATACACATGAAACCAGAATCTGCGAACTTTATCTTAAAATATTTTCATATAAGATTAGATGAAATCATGCGACATGCAGTAAATGGTTTCCACAAAATAAAAACTTTTCTGTATAAAGAATGAGTAGACTTATAATATAAATCACCTATATTTTAACTATTTATTCTCGATACATGTAAATCATATACGATGTCCTTTCTATTTTCTAATATTTACTTAAATAATAAAATATTTACTTAGGAATTCGTTGCATTTCATATTGACATCGCTGTAATTCTTGTTAATTGATAAATAAACTAATTCGACTGTCGATCGATATATCAATTGAGAGAGAGAGAGAGATGCTGATCGATATCCCTGTCTTCTATTACTATAGATTAGGTAAAATCCACTCTGAGTAGATGTCACCGGCAACATTAACCTGTCATAGCGTCAATTTTGATTCAATACCCAAAGCATTACTTAGTACCAATTTTCTACCTATATAATCATGTATATAAATCGATCTTGTTATTGGTTCTAAAATATATTGGATTCACTTCTTATACATTTTGTAGAGGAATTGCAAAAAGATTTTTTTAAAAAGAAAAAAATATAGCGCTTAATCCACTCATTCTTTTGTAGTCAAGGGAAGAATTAAAAAAAAAAATAAAAAAGATAACGCTCTTTGTCTTTAAGTTTCAAATAAAATATAATAATTACATTTTTCTTTCATTTATTTCCCTCTTTAATACATTCCTTCGCTATATTCTCAAGTTGGTTCTCATCATTTTTAATGAAAGAAGTGTAAGATTATTTTCTATGCTATATTTAATATCAAGTTTGCTGATGTACAGTACGAGAATTTCTATAATATTGTTTTTTAACTAACAACTGGTGCTTGAACCAACCAATGACTACAATGCTCAGCTTTGCCACATTTGAACTGTTGTTTTTGATAAGAATTTATAGGAATATATTTCGAATTCCCTTAAAAATGTCATATATAGGAAAGTACTAGCTATACATATATGTTTATACTTAAAACTAAACACAGTCACAGTAAAACAATAACAACAAAAAAATGTATGTAACATTGATAAAAAAAATCTGACACAAACAAAGGAAACAACCAAAACAGTATTTGCACGTATGACAGACACAAAAAATGGAAAGAGAAAAAAAAAATAACTAGAAACTTGTTGCCAGGGCAACAAGAGGGTTTTCCGTCCCTTCTCTGTCATCAGAGAAGTTTATTTCCTATTTATAAAACGTAAATATTGTGAAAATATTGCAAAATTCAAGCGAAAAAAATACGACCTCATTTTAAGCATAGAATATTATACATTTGTATTACAGCTGAAGAAAGTGAGAAAAATTATAGACATTCGAGATTCCCCCCCCCCCCCCCTGTGAAAACATACACGCTGACCATTATGCTAGGGAGGACAATCGCATTAAGCTAAAAAACAAAGTCCTTCAGTATGTGTTAATCAATTACAAGAAATCTTATATTAATCATTCAAAATGTACTAATATCAACGAAAAATATTACAAAATAAAATAAAAGTCAAGAAACTTGCTTTTAAAAATCTCTTTCGGTGACCCGTTCGGTGACCTTTTCGAAAGGAAATGACGGAAGAGCACTTTTTTTTTTACCTTCAACACATTTAGAG